CCTCCTTCTCCGTGTGGGAGGGAGGAACCTGGACCCACCCCCCCCCCCCCCCCCCTCCCCCCCTTGGTTAACTCTATAGCTCTCCTATACTATATCTAAAGAGGAGTATTTTAAACATTTCTCCATGTGTCGGTGGCGCAGCCAAGATTTGTGTATAATCTAAACATGTTTATCATTCGCTTGTGTGCCTCAAAATAGCTTCATTTTTCTACGACAGAGATTATGGTAAGTGTATTGGGTGTTGTGGCACTAGAGAATTCGCAAATCCTTCTTTCTCTTCAAGAATCCACTCATTAAATCCTTTGCCTTCTTCTTCCGGCATGTTGCGTTGTCTCATCAAAATAGCTCCCACCACCAAGTTACTTCTCTGTATCCCTGCTAGGCCTGGGATCAGCTCCATGAGTTAAATTATAGAGCGAAAAAGTCATTAAGTGGGATAAAGATACAAGGAATCGATGGAGCAATTGATATTGTGCAGCTCTCATTTGTCTCCAGTCCAGTGCACATGAGCATTGGGGTGGTAAAGCCCGCTTTCTGTTTCCAGGTGAGCTCTCCAGCCAGTCCACAACTTATTTGAGGGCGATCAATAGCAGCAACACACACAGCCTACATGGATTCTGTGTGAAAATAAAGATGGAAAAATTACAGTCGTATAGTATCAGTAATATTACAGTGTTTTTAAAATCGTATGTGTATTATTTTGGATTGTAATATTATAACACAGAGACTAGAAAATATTTCATTTTAAAGCTATAGATTGTGCTGCAAATCCTGTTAGACAACGCAATAAACCAGATGATGCAAAACCCTTAATAACAGACGGTATCAACCATTCTTTGGTGTGTGTGGGCAGCTTTAAGACACCGTCTTGAGCCTGTCATTTTAATGGCTGTGTGGAAACTGCTGGATAAATGAGACAGACAGACAGTGTAGTCTAAAGAATTGTTCTGTTTTATTCTCTCCTTTCACGCACACACCCACCGAGGCGCAGGACATCTCTCTCTCCCCCTAATGACACGCAGATTTGACTTGTTCTCCTTTAATTACGTGACCCACCTGGCCCCAAAAGTCTTTCCTTATGGAAGCTAATCGCCAACTGGAGCTCTGGTTGGTTGTCATTACACAGACAAGCCAACTGCAGCTGTCTCAGAGATGGGAAATAAATGACTTGAGTACAGAGAGAATGTTGGCCCTTAACCAGTAGGAAATGTATCCATTAAAGTGACTTCACAAAACCTCAGATCAGGCAATCAATGACATTGGAGTCATCCACATTGATGATGTGTTGCTCATCATGATACTTGCAAGACAAAGTCTGTTTGTTTGCTTTTGTCATTAAAAACAAAATATGGACATGCGGTAGGCTACATGTGCCTGCTGGTCAATAATTCATACGAGGCATTCAGTATTTATGGAGTCCCACACACTGCTGCACAAGACCTTTGATGACACACTGACGTTAAATCCCCAGACCAGAGCAAGCAAACCATGAGATACAACATGACACTTTTAATTTGGACTTCAGCATTAAAAGAGGAGAACCTCGTGCTAAGACAGGCCAGGATGGTAAACTGGTCAGTTACCGAGTGTGAGAATAAAGTGTAGTATGGCCCAGAGCATGCCATAACATTGAGCCACGTAATGTGCTGAGAGTCAGCTCACTACACCATTGCATGCGGTTGGCTTGATGTGAATGAAATACCTTTTTTTTCCCTCACTGAAGTTTAGATGTTTCTTCCACAGCACATGCCTGTGTGTTCATGTGGAATGAGTCACTCATGCCTGTGGTCCACGGAGCCTCACAGCCCACTCACATCCTCACACTGCCAGGTTTCCCATGCAGCCTCTGTATCAATACCTAAAGCTTACATATCAGGCCCATTGAATAATGATTACTAGATCTGTGTGGTGGCCTACTAAACCTCGGTTCCTCCATCCTTGGGCTTCAGCCAAACTATAGTATTTTTCCCACCGTCTCTGTCTGTTCCTCTGTCAGTCAGCTCTCTTCTGTCTCGATCTGGGAGGCCAACCTTTCAGAATTTCCAATGATGCCTCGGAAATCTGTTTCCAGGGCAACCAGGGCACCAAATACTCTCCCAGCGGCTTCGTGCTTTGTTTACACTTTTCTTATCTCAGTGAAGATGTAGGTTGCTCTAAACAGACAAGGATGAGGCACAGGATGATGTCAGACCCAGTTAATGACCCGGTTAATCTTGTGTTACACACCCACATTATGAATCTCTTTTTTCTGATTTGCATCCCTGATTAATTGTATGTTATTACAAGTGTAGGTTTCAAGTTTTTACTAGAAGATAAAGATTTGCATTAGACTCCCCACATTATCCATATAATTGCTTGTGCTTAATTACACCACTGGGAAACATGGAACCTTAATAAAGACAGTCGATATATGATGCGCCGCTGCCGTAGCACTTAAAACTGACACCTTTCGTTATGTAACAGACACTGAAGACAATGTTTGAATGTGTTTCTGATTATTACCTCCTTTGTATATTGGACTTATTGAAAACCAACTCACGTCCACCACTTTTAAGCCTTGCGCTTGCGCGTAATGGAGCCCGGAGCTTTCCAAGTGTATGCTGAAATGAGAAAAGGCGGTCCCCTCCCATTCCTCAACAGAGGACGGTCCTCCACCTGCGAAAGATTTCACTTCATAAGTAACAACACGAGCCAGCGGGGTTTTCTTCACAGCGGGAGCTCTCAGATTTTAGCCAACGCAAAAGGCTTCCAGGCGATGCGTTTTTGGAGTTTCACCCTCTCGGCGTCCGACCAATGGACTGATGTTTCTTTACACCTCCGCTTTGAGAAATCTGTTTTTGGGAGTCAGAGTTTCGTGAAACTAAACTATGATTTGTGGCTGCGTTGAGGAATGTCTCCTGTATTCTTGTGTGACACAAGAACATCCAAACGCCCACGACTTGGTCAGGAAGAAAGCGGTACCCCTATTTGGATTATGTGTTTGACAAATGTAAACATATGGAAGAAATAAAAAAGTGAGCACATGGGAAACCCACCAGGAATGAATCGGTCCTTTATTAAGGTTTTGGCAGCTTTATTTACATATTTCATGGAGACAAACAACTTCAGGTACGCAAATTAATTTATCAAATATATGTAATTGTATGGACTGAAAACGAATTATTTCTCCCTTCTCAAGTTTGTATAATAAGATCATTTAGTCAAGTAATTGGCGCAATTAAAGAAACAACATGAAATGGGCCGTGACTTCTTTCTGCACAGACTAAGTTGGTAGGAATTGCTTGAGAGCTGCTTTGATTAGGATTAAAGTTGCTCCGCATTTTCAACTGCTTGAATTGCTTTTGTGAGCGCTAGTTGGACCTCGTGATAGCCTTTAGGTAAAATGTATAATATCATCATGCTGTTTGTTTTTTTGCCTGTAAGTACAATGACTGTATTGTGATATTTACGCACGTAGTATTATTAATTATTCTATTGAGTCATAATAACAACAATTTCACAACGTGTCACATGAAATTACAGCATGCTGTGATATCTGTGCAGTAATCTGGCATGATGTGACTAAAATATAGCTCTTTCTTGTGAAAAGAAAATGCCCACATTGTCGAAATCACGCAAGATTCGTCTGATACGTGTATTCTCTTAAACGCTTTTTCTAGTTTCCCTGTGCTTGCCCATCACTCCCAGGCAGCTGTTATGCGAGAGATAAGGTTTAACTCCTGGTTTTCAGCCGGGACTTTAGTCTGATAATGTAATTTCTCTCTCTCTCTCTCTCTCTCTCTCTCTGTGTGTGTGTGTGTGTGTGTGTTTGTGTGTGTGTGTGTGTGTGTGTGTGTGTGTGTGTGTGTGTGTGTGTGTGTGTGTGTGTGTGTGTGTGTGTGTGGTTGTGTGTGTGTTTGTTTCAGAGTTGTGGATGCCAAGGAGCACGATTCCAGATCATCCTCCAACATGTCTCCATCAGACTTTCTAGACTCACTCATGGGTCGCACGTCCGGGTATGATGCACGAATAAGACCGAACTTTAAAGGTTTGTTTATCATTGTCTTTGTCTTTCGGATATTTTCACACACCTCACTTTACACAAAGTGTCCCCTTTACAACAAAAACACAGAAACAGATTGTGTGAGTATTTCTGCATGCAGAATACAGTATCCACCTCCCCCTAAACACACCAGACTTTAGCTCTATTACTTATCTGGAGATCCATTGACTGTTGTCTGATGCTAAGATACCATGCTGCCAGTCCTCTTATAAGAACAATAAAGCACTTCAGTTGAAAGTAACATTGTTGTCCTGGCTTGAATTGAATCATTGTAACATCACACACCTGATTTCATTGGGTAAAATGTCAGAAACAATCCGCATCTCCAATTAAGTCATAATTTGGAAACCGAAAAAAAGCTTGTAACTACAGTCACAGTTGCAGACAGGGGTGCCACAATGGCAGGCCAAGTGATGATTGATGCCCCCGTGGCAAGGCTGCAGGCTACTGACTTCCTGTGTTGTTGATGTTGATGCTGGGGACAGACACAGCATCTGTCACTGGAACGGAGCTGAGTGAGAAGAGGGTGGCCCGCTGGGGCTCAGGCCCGCTCCAAGCTGGGTCAGGTGGACTGGGATTTGTTTGTTTGGGGAGTTATTTGCAGCAGCCAAGACAGTGTAGCAGGGGGTTTGATGAGCGGGATTCAGAAACACATGGCCCAGATATTTCCTCTCCATCTGGTAAAGAAAAAGGAAGATGTTGACAAGATTGCTGAAATGGACATAAGATGGGAGGAGGACAGCCTGTTTAACACCGGCTGGCATTTTCAGAGGAGGGATGAAGTGAAAGCAACTATTTCTAGCTAATGAAGAGAGGATTAGCACACATGGATTAAAAGGCATTAAGCATGATTTTTAATGTTGCTGATTGTATTTGTATTGGCTCTGTATTTTAAAATTAATCATCTCACAGCTAAAAAACAAACACTATTTTCTAAACCCACAGCGATGTAAACAGAGGATTTTGGTTGCAAACCTGCTAGTCGTACTTTGAAGAGTGTTGAACTGTATTTCTGAAGGCTGACCTAGATTTCCTTGCTGAGTTTGTTGAGAGGAGGTTCTGCTTTATTTTTCTGCTACTGCTGTTAAATGTAGCTACCTGACGACAAACTGAGGCAAATATTAATACCAAGTGCTATGCAATATTGATGAGGAAAGCACAGGGGAAGGGCACTGTGACAGGTTTACAACTTCACTTATCAGATAGGGAAAAGAGATTTGCTGTGACTTTCAAGCTGCCAAGCCTTGCAAAGAGATGTCTGTTCAGGCCACAAGAAGGACTCTACTCATTATACTGTAGCATGCTGGGTACTGCTCACAGTGTTGGGAGGATACTGGAACTAACAGATCGTTGTACGGCTGCAACTGACGAGTAAACTCATAGATAACCTGTATATTACGGTCTTGATTAATCATTTAGTACATTGAGAAATATTTAAATTGCTTGCTTTTTTTCTGAATAGTCCAGAACCCAAAGATATTTTGTGATGTATCATAGAAGATTAAAAAAAATATTCCCAATTTGGAAGCAGGAACCAGGGATTTATTTGGCAGTTTTGTTTTTTAAAAATTACCTAAACGATTAAGTGAATATCAAAATAGCTGCAGGTTAATTACCTGTTCATCGACAAATCAATTATTCGGCTAAAAGAAAAAATGTACATTGCGTTGACCAGAAAAAGTTATTATACAGATACCAATTATGGTATGTTGTTGAGTACAACTGGATTCTAATAAAATTCAGCAATATTTATGTTACGATATGTGATCTTTTGTGTCTGGTTTTAGCATGCGATCTGTCACCATCCACTCCTGGAGCTCCTATGAAAGAAGGAAACAAGAGAACCGGTGCTTGTTGATAATGCATGTTGACACACACACACAGTGAAACAGCAGCTTGTGAACCAACAGACCCAAATTTCCTGATGAAACATCTCCACCGCTCCAAACCCAGTCGTCCTTGTGGTTCAAGGCTTTTTCCTGTCATGTCATTGTCATTCCGTTTCACAGGTCCCCCCCCCACCCGTAAAAGTTACATGCAATATTTTCATCAACAGTTTCGGCTCTGTCACAGAGACAACTACGCTGAGTTCCTCTGGCATTTTGGCTGATTTCTGCACAATGTGTTATCTATCCCTCAACCTGCAGGTCCACCAGTTAATGTTACCTGCAACATATTTATCAACAGCTTTGGTTCTATAGCAGAAACTACAATGGTGAGTTGAGCATTATGCGCATGTCCTAAAGTCCTGACCCTTGCTCAGGAGTTAAGACTTAATCATCTTGTTTCTTTACCTAATCTACTTTGTTTTAAACCTTTATCATTGCTGCGTCTTCCCCTGCCATAACACTTAACTTTTGCCATTAAAAATAGTCTATTGGCAGTTCCATTGGGGAACACAGACATTATAGATGCAAAACATGTTCTCTGGCTATCCAAAGAAGTATTGGTTTCCTCTCCCATGATGCCCCTTATACATGTGTTAGTCCAGGTTCAATAAATAATACGATAAATCCCAACCAGTAAGTCACTTAAAGTGCAGCCGATAACGGTGGGTGGCGGGGCTCAGGCTTTCAAACAAGCTGATCTGTGATGTGTGAAAAGCATCCAGCTGCTTAGGGGGTAAAAATATAAAAACCTGTGAGGCTGCATGAAAACTCATCACGATCAAAGGATTCATAATGAGTGATGATAACTACTTCGATTGTGAATGAAGGATGTTAATTTGCGCAGGAGCTGACGCTCATACGATTGCCAGGGAATTACGCAGCTTTAGACACGCATGCAAATATTTGGAACCGCCAATATTCTGATGAAATGTCAAACAACATAAGGGCCTCTCATCATCATGACATATCAATTACTCTGAGCAACTCAGCTTTGTGACTCTAACTGATACTAACTGCACTGTCTGAGATTTCCTCATCAGCCACTTCATCTTATAACTCCACCATTAGCTTCTATAATGGATATTACATAATTATGGTTAATAAAAAAAAGTTATTACGATCAGTGTTTTGCAAATGCAACTTTCAACAACATGTCATTTTTGATATGAAGTATGTATGAGTATGAAATGTAAGATTAAACACACCTGGTGTTGCTGGATGATTTTTTTGTTCCTCATCCATTTAATGATCTATCATGTGTTTTTAAATGTTTTGCATCTCGCAACAGTTGCAATTGGGTGAATGTGACAGTGTAAAGTAAAAAGTAAAGAAGTATTTGCAGCAAAATTTAAAGTTTCAGTTGGCAACTCATTATGCACATGTGCCCTTCCTGAGCATGATTGTATATTGTGTATTATGTATATGCATTCAGAGCATTTTAATGTTGAAGTTGGTTAAAGTGGAGATCATTTTAACTGCTTTATTCACTGTTGTGTAAATACCTACTAAAATGCATCTTTATTTTTTAAGATGATCCAATATTTTCATCTAGCTGTCAAATAAAGTAATGGAGTAAAATATATCCCTCTGAAATATGGTGAAGTGGAAATATAAAGTACCATAAAATGGAAATTCTCAAGTGAAGTACAAACACCTCAGAATACTACTTGAAAATGTACAGTTACATTCTACTATTCAAGAAACAAACGTGAACATTTAGGTGTTACATTTGGTATAGATGCTTGCTATTGTTATCATTTTGTCTATGATAGATGCGTATTTTGAATAATCATGAAGATGCAGTGTTTCTATTTCTTCTCATCAAAAGGTGTATATGTAATATTTAAAGCTGATACCGATGACTGCTTTCTCATAACCCCAATCACTGGATTACAAAATATGCAAAGCTGCTTGTCATCTCTGCAGGATTACAGAGTGAATATATTCCTGCGGCAGAAGTGGAATGACCCTCGGCTGGCGTACAGTAAATACCCAGATTCCTCCCTCGACCTGGACCCGTCCATGTTGGACTCCATATGGAAGCCAGACCTCTTCTTTGCCAACGAGAAAGGGGCCAACTTCCATGATGTCACCACAGACAACAAGCTGCTGCGGATCTTCAAGGATGGGACTGTCCTCTACAGTATCAGGTGAGGTGTTGCATGTGTTGTTATAAACAACAACAACAACAACAACAACAACAGAATAAAAAATGACTTCAAGAATTAAAGATGGAGCTTCACACTACAGCTGAACCATTCAGTTGATTATGTGATTAGTTGATGAACAGAAAATTAATTTGCATCTATTTTGATAATTGGTTAATTAAGTTAAGAAAAAATGAACAATCAAAAACTTAAATGTAGATATATTCCAGTTTTCTTTTTGATAATAAATGGTAACATTTGGTATTGTACAGTAGGTCTGTAGCTGAGGCCGGAATCTGTTCTGAGAGAATAAAATGATACGGCGGAGAACCAAAAGCTCCGATGCACAGCTCACCCCAGGACATGTTCACTCATTGCTTTTCTTACATTTCCTCTCAAACATCAAAGAGTGTCAATCTAAACGATACAGTTATAAATGGATTGTATCTCATTATAATCACTCCTTTGAAATGTCATCATTCGCTGAAGTACAGTACATCCTCGTGTCTGAAGTAGATTTTTAATAAAAGAATACAGATTGCAAAGTTAATCTCAGGGAAATAGTTGAGAATCCAGAGCGAATATAAAAATGTGAATCCTTCTTCGTGTTGGTCTCTCCGCAAGCAGGATTTCTGTACTACATAAAGAGCATTGTGGAAGACTCTGAAACATCCAGGCAAGAATGGATGACATGTTAAAGGCCCATTAGTCCAAACATTTGAGCAAAACCCAGTACAAGATATGAAAATATGTTTTATTTAATTTCAATACAACTTCAATTCCAATGCGGCTTTCGATTCTTTCTGCAATGATGCACTATGAAGCAGATCAATTTTGAGTCCATTTAGAGAGGCTCAGGTGTGGAGGCGCAGTGGGTCAACGGGAGGGATGAAAGGTGGTTAGCCACTCTCTCCATTCATGAGAGAAATGACAGAGTGAGCAGACTGTGGGCCACAATGCATCACAGAGACAATACGTTGAAGTAATGAAAGTGTGATGGGAACCTGCTGAAGGAAATCCGACATGATATGTCAGAGGCTATCGCACAGGAGAAAGAGACACACACACGATACAGAGATTACCAAAAAAAGTACCAACTGCAAGCCAATTATGTTCAATTCATGTTCCACTTGTTCAAGATTTATAATCAAATATATTCATTGGTGTGTTCACTGCATCTTATTTTGTGACTTTTCCTCGCATCATAGGTTGACTCTCATTCTGTCTTGCCCGATGGATCTGAAGAACTTTCCGATGGATGTCCAAACTTGTACCATGCAACTGGAAAGTTGTAAGCATTGCCTTTGTCTCAGTTTTGTCCCGGGCGCTTTCTACACTCGCATATCCAGATATTGATTAATCTATTCTTTTCTGTCACTAGTCGGGTACACCATGAATGACTTGATCTTCGAGTGGCTGGAGAACGGTGCGGTGCAGGTGTCAGACGGGCTCACGCTGCCTCAGTTCATTATGAGGGAAGAGAAGGAGCTGGGATACTGCACAAAACACTACAACACTGGTCAGAGGACCCACACACAACCACATGCTGCTTGTATTTCACACTCCTAACATTTCTCCTGGTCTGGTAGCTGAATTGTTTTTGTGTTCTAGGTAAATTCACCTGTATAGAAGTAAAATTTCATCTGGAGAGACAGATGGGGTACTACCTGATCCAGATGTACATTCCTTCCCTCCTCATTGTCATCCTCTCATGGGTGTCGTTTTGGATCAATATGGATGCTGCTCCCGCCAGAGTGGCGCTGGGCATCACCACTGTGCTAACCATGACCACCCAAAGCTCCGGCTCCAGAGCATCTCTTCCAAAGGTGAAACCTCACTTAGTTGACCCAGCTGCATATATGTTTTGAATATGCAGGTCTAGAAAACCTTGTGCTTGTATCAAATCTATAGGTCTCAATCATGGAAAATCACATAAAAACCTCTTATGTTGGAACATATTGAGAGACATCTTATTTCAGGGATGAGTAAACCCTAAGTGTGCAGCTCTTTTGACCTGGTTGGTGCATTCAACATTTTTGTTCCAGCCGTGCCATCTAAAGCGTGTGTACATTGCCAACAGCGCTGGCAGTCTATGGTAGCTTATTTTCAATCAGGGTAAACTGCTGTGCTCGTTTTGTGAAGGGTACTACAGGCAATGAGAGATGAATCTTGATGATCAGTCACTCTCCACGCAGCAGTCTGCACCCGAGCACCGAAGGCCTCGGCCACGTCAGAGGTTCTCACATAAAAGACACGCAAGCTGATAAATATTTAAACAGAAGCCTTTGAGAGCTCAGATTTAAGAAAACAATAACTTAATATGCCTTAACCGCCCTCAAAAAGCTGAGTTGTTTTCTCCCCATGCTAATCAGCTGCCATGGAGTTAGGTGGTCACACTGATGAACAGTAAAGAATGTCAGCTTCATCCTCACTTTCCAAAAAGAAACATATCCAAAACAGTGCTAGAGTTACAACCTAATAATACAGTTCTCTTTCTATTGGTAGTGAAGGAAGCAATTATTTCCTGCTGTTTATTGCCACACAATCACTGATATTATTGGCAGCTCTGATACATTTGTTTGAAAATATATTAATGACATTTAGAAATCTTGGTTAACTGACATAATGAGCAAGATAAATGGAGAAAAAAATAAAGAAAACGGAGTAGATCATACAGATCTAGGGCTTAAAATGAATACAGAAAGATCTACCAATAAAAAAATCAAATCGACCAATATTTCAAGTCAAAGCGTGAATTCATACTATATTTGAACTGTTAGCTGATGCTGTCACCTTGGAGGATCTAACAAAGGAAATCTGTCTTCTCTTCCAGGTCTCCTACGTGAAAGCCATTGATATCTGGATGGCTGTGTGTCTGCTCTTTGTATTTGCTGCACTGCTAGAATATGCTGGGGTTAATTTTGTCTCCAGGCAACAGAAAGAGTTCCTTCGCCTGAGGCGAAGACAGAGGAGGAATCACAAGGTATGCTTCCAAAGTCTTTACAATGTTGGTGTTTGGTTATCAAACTTTTTAGCCACATTAAGTGTCCACAGCAAAATCCATCTGTTGTCTGCACCACTTTGTTGCAGACTGGAATTTTGTACAGGCATTCATGGTACCCAGAGGATGAATTGTAATGACTTCTGTGATAATCTGACTGGCCAGGTCAAAGGTCAAATCTTTCACTTATCAGTGAAATATCTCAACATCTGCGTACCAGGTCAATAGGTTACAAATTTGGCACAGGCTCCCAAACGATGGATCCAAATAACTTGACGATGCCATGGACACCATGAGGTTGACCTGTGTCATTTTCATTGAGATGTTTCAATATCTGCATTATATCTGCTGAACGTTATGTCTGCTAAATGTTAGCATTGATATTGTAAGTATGTAAGCATGCTGACGCTTTTAGCTCAAAGCAATGCTGTGGGTAACTTTGACCTTATAGACTCTTGTTGGAATATTTATGTAGTATGACTAGGAAATCAATATTAATTCCCTAAGCAGTGGTTTATCGTTAAAGTACATCAGGTTGTCTTTTTTTAAATTTAAAACTGTTATCTCATGATTAGTGTTCATGTTCACATTGCTAACAGCAACACTGAGCCAGCGGCCAGTAAGAAGAGCTGCAATCTTTTAAAAAAAAGACCAAGCAAGTTCATTCTGTCCACGAATGCATGTGTTTTTCCAGGACGATGAAGGCCGCTTTAATTTCGCTGGCTACAAAATGAGTCAGTGTCTCCCAACGAAGGACGGCTCAGCTGTCAAGAACGCTGTTCCAGCTGCGAACCCTCAACCATCAGTCCCCAAGGACATCGACACCATGAGGAAGAAGTATGTGGACAGGGCTAAGAGGATAGACACCATCTCCAGGGCCGCCTTTCCTATGGCATTCCTCATCTTCAATGTCTTCTACTGGGTCACCTACAAGATCATCAGGTATGAGGACATCCACCAGAAGTAAAGACTTAACCCTGGACAAACAACATTTATTTTTTAATTTCTCAGATTGAGAAATGCTTGGAAAGCCCAGTGAGAGGAGATGGGAGAATGTGCATTGAGAGGACCCATGGTGGTGATGAAGGTGTTGTTCTTTCAGGGATAATGTATAATGTTCATGCATCGTACAGTAATGCTCATGTTCGGACATTGCGAGCAGCTCTTGAGACGCTGATGATTTTTGTTGTTGTTGTTGACCTGCTGCATAACATTTCCTGACAGATCTGGAAAAATGGTTTTAACTCGAGGCTCAGTAACATGCTGGAGAAGATGGACCAATTTTTTCTTAATCAATTTTGCCTTGGCATCTGTACAAGGAACAAAGAAACATTCCATGGAGTTGTAACTGTAAGGTAGCGTAATTAGACACTCAAACACTTTTTTGTGATTGCAAAAAAAAGGATGTTTAGGACTCTTTTATATTGTACTATTGTCATGGCACTTCCTCTCCGTTTGTATAAAATAAAGCAGCATAGCGTACGGGCAACAAAAAGCACACACAGACACATCGGTCAGACATTAGGCAGCAGCACACATTTCAGGCATGAGCGCGAACAAAGCAGATGAAAATTGGATACTGAATTTTTATGAAATACTTGAGGCCTTAGACATCAAAGATTTGGAGAGACGAAGTGCTTCTCTATTTTTCAAGCATCTCCTCTTGTTCAGTGGTCTATCAGAGCCGAATGCAGCGTTTGATCTTTTCTACCTGTGGCCACACGTCCACTTGTTGTTTGGTGTATTATAAATCATATTCTTGGACAAGGGAGGTTACTTAAAATCAATGTAAGTTTATTCCAATGTTAAAAAAAACCACATTTTTCATTTCTATTCTAAAATAATCTAAACAAATATATCATATATTTCACAGGCTAGGTTCATAAAAGTACAATTGGCCAAGTGTATAGGTTAGCCCACAAACTGTGAACACGCACTGCATTACTCAATGGTGTCATATGTCCATATGCACATGTATTCATTTATGTTCCAGGTAAATACTCCAGGTATCTTTGGTATGGTTTTAGAGTTTGAGCCTATGTTTTTTGTAGATTTAGTGTGATGAAATATTTATTGTAATGGAGGAAAGGTTATGTTTATTAAAAAAAGAATAGCTTTCTGTATACTTCTACAACCTCCGCTGTGGCCTGTTTCCCTTCACTTGGCGTGTTTGTTGCTGGATGATGACATGTGTTTGTAGATGGATTCAACAGTGAAGGACAGAACTGCATAACATTGATGGTACAGAGCAGCTAGTGGTGCTTGCACTCCTGATATACTGTGGTGAACAACTCCTTTTTTGAATGCTATTCCTTATTTGCTGGTCCGTACATCAATAAACTTGACTGCACCATATTTACTTTACTTCCACTTCTCCTGTCATGTATATGGTTGGGGGCTTTGTTTTATATTATCATGCATTTGTTGGTGCAATTACACTATATATAATTTATTTGCATGTAAGAAAGGAATAGATGGGAAGCCTTTTCAGAAGAAAATAACTGACAAAATAAAGCACAAACACGTGGAAATGCTTTTAGCTCGCTGCTTGAAGATCAAATCAAAGAAAAGGACAAACAGTCTCCTCACCGAGCACCTTGAGTCAGGGTGATGACGCGCGCCGTGGATCGCTGGGTGGTCTGGGGTGACACAGATACGATCTGACAGCAGGGTTTCCATTAATGCATGGTAATGGACTTCACACTGTAGTGTTGTGTCCATTAGGTTGGGGCTTACCGATCAGTTAAATGGAAAAGAGTTGCGAGGCATTCACAGACAGGAGAGGACAATTGACATTTATAATAAAGATGCTTCTTCAGCTCTTTCCACCTGTTGTAACTGCACGTGTGCTCAGACAAAAGCAATGAATAACCCAAATATATCATTCTTAAAGAGACAGGAGTGGCCACACCAGCTCTCTATATCCTGTAATTACATTGTCCTAAAAATAATGCTATTCATTCTCATACTGTGGGTAATGCCAGGATCCATCAATCTTATATTAATCTAAAAGATGAATAATACATGGCCTGTGGTAGGTTTTCTGAAAAGGTTGCATGAATCATATAACTACTATTTTAATGCACAACACACAGGGATTATGAACGAATCAATAACACCAATCCTAGCATGGATAGACCATCCATTTCACCGACACAGCCTTCCATCTCTGCAGTTTGTTATTGCAGTTTTGAATATGCAGGGATGCAAAAGCCTTTACGCAATCAAGTTCAGTATAACGGCTTATGAAAAGGAGAATAATTTGCAGCTTACGATTGTGTTAAAGAGGGAAAACAACTTTCCATCGTTGATTAAGGTTTAGGGAAGCTGCTCTGTGAGGTCGGAGAGAGGCGAGAAATGAGTGTTGCCATAGCAACAGCACAGCAATTGAGAAGGCCGGTGTGTGAGAGGAAAGTCGGAAATGAATAAGGGTCGAGAACACCGGAGCATGGTTTTGCCAAAAGTACATCTCTTATGCCTGAACATGAACACTACACTAACTTAAACATTTCCAACATTCTGCTGTTTCCTGCAGTTTATTCAGAGGGTTATGCTTCCATGGCACTCATTAAACAACAAAACAGGCACCGAGGGACAGCCCATGTCATTTATGGTATATCTGCTGTATGAATGCTGTACCAAAATCGGTACGTGGCACTTCAGCAACATAAATATTGCTAGTTAGTGTGAAACCATCTGCAGGCTGGTAGTATTGATCTCTCCTCCCTAGCTCAGAGTAGCCTAGAATCACAGGGAACAGTGTTTCAATAGGCCGTTAAAATGAAGTCTGCAGAGCTAAACCATCTCCTCGACACATGAGAAGCTATCTTCTGAGAAGGGCGTGAAGAGGACTGAACTTGATCAATAACAGTAGACTCCAGACCAGTGCTCCTCATCACATGCCATCTATTTAAACATGGCTCAGCCGCATCACTCATTACGGATGTTTCTAATTAACATGTTTAATAGTCACATTAGATACAACACTTAATATATTTAACTTATTATACTTTCCGATGCTGTTAAATGTTTGTTTATATCAGTCACATTAGACATATCAATAAAACGGTCCATATGTACATAAGTGTGACATGAAATGCTGAGTTTCAATATATAACTTTTTAACTATGAATGTGAACATATGGCCAGTAAATTAAGGTCTATATCTTATTGTTATAATTAAATACAAAAGTATGGCAATCCATTTCCTCCATGAAATGAAAACGCTAGTCATGATAGAAAAGTCAAAATCAATTAGTAATAAAACATAAAACATCTAATCATAGATTTAAAATTGTTCATTTACCATAAACATTTAATTATAAAATTTAAAAAAATATATTTCTATTTATATAAAATATTTTATTTCATTTTATAAATGTATTTATTTATGAGCAGCTTTCCGTCTGTTCCCTTACCGTTCCTGGTGGCCGTGGACGGTCTGAAGTGACAGTAGATGTCTGGCATCCACACACATCAGAAGACGCAGGACTCGATCAATTGTCAATTTGTCTGCATCAATAAGCCAGATGGGATGTAGATTTTGTTTTCTCCATGTCTGGTTTGGTTTCATAACACAGCAGCTACATTATCCATCCGCCACGTTTTCATTTCCTATTAAAGTGAGGCGACTACAGAGTAGAAGCCCTGCAGCCCTCTTCCACCACTCACAGTAAATACAACCGAACAGACAGTAATGGGATGACAAACCATATATTTTACTCCGGGTAGCAGTTTGTGCTTTAAGGGAACACCAATACAATAGAATTCTCTTTTTCACATGTGATCCATTTGTCCCTGGCCCTTTAGTGGAGTTATTTACTGAACAGAATTCAAAAAAATACTCTTCTGCGCTACAAGTGACAGAGGTGTTTGTCTCACAGCCGAAGAGGTGGTGAGGGTTTGTCCGTTTCTGTATGTGAGGGACGAATAAAGCAAAGAACAAAGAAGTGTCGATGTGTTTTATCAACTTGCATGCTGGATGAAGTTGAGTGATCTGAATATAACAGCAAAAACCTACAAACAGGGTTCTTTATTTCCATTCAAACAAGACACAAAAAATACATTGTGTATAGCTCTGTAACATGTCACTAACCCACAGCAGCATTACCTTTATGAAGTAACTTTGAAGGGATGCTTCAGCTATGTTCAGGGGAGTCCTGCGGCAGTGAGTCCAGTGGAAGCTGTTACTTGCAATGAAGCGGACACATATAAAGGTGTAAAAGAAGAGGAGATCTCTCCAGAGAGTCCTGAGTACTACACACAGATGGAGCAGCTCCCAGAACAAACATGCACATCCTTGTTTCTGAGCTCCCTACTGGGAGAAAAAGAAAAAAGAAACACCCGCCATTTCAGCAAACACCATAGCCAGACTGCCACATACCTCATATAGCCAGAAAAGTTGGGGTCCTTTTAAGTAGCATTTCATGTTTACTTGTACAAACTGCATTTGAACTAACAGTGCTGACACCAAGGACGTGTTTTACAGGAACATAACTGAAAGTAGCCCACCACTAAAAGCTTTCAGTCAACTACAGTCACTGAGCAGATTTCTAACTCAACCATCATCTGTTGCCTTTATTCATAACACAAACCGTTTCTCGGCTGAAAGTGGTCTCCGTCTCCTACTGAATAGCACACAGCAGCAGCATCAGCAGACATTGAAGAGCATTCTTGAACACAGAGGGTCTTAGGGGACATGGACAGAAAAATAAGCTGAACAGAGATCAGTATCACATCAGTATCAGAGTAAGGCCAGAGGTGATCCAGCTCTACACAGCAGCAGACACTATAGATATCAACCCCAAGAGTCTGAGGGAGCACACAGAGACAACTCGAAGCCAGCAAAGGGGGGGCAGCTCTCAATCCAGGTGAAATGTGCAAAGCATAGCATACATGACTAACTCTGATTAGTCATTACACTTGACACAATACACGATTAAAGATTAGGCTCCCCCTCCCCCGTTAATGCTACCCGCTTGGGATTTCCACAAAAACCATGTTCTGCAGTATATTAGCTGAGCAAAGTTCTCTGAGCGTCTAAGAGAGCTGCCAAATCCCCATCGAGTTGGAGTTTGGACATGTTTTGGGTTAGCCTACGATATCTCCACACATCCACCAGGGGGCTCAACCTCGTCTTACTCCTCTCCACGTCCCCCTGAAACACTTCCCTACACCTCTGGAGCCCCTTCACAGAACCAGGCTCAGGGCTCTCCTCATGTCCAAGGCTCATCCTCTTCTTCTCCTCCTCCTCCTCCTCTTCTTCACAAAGTAGCAATGACACACACTCTCTGAGGGACACCAACTCTTTCTCCAGCGCCAAAGACAACATTTGAGCTGCACCCTGTCCTCTTGTACCTTTGACAGACCGGATGGAGCAGGACAAAGGGAGGTAGGCCAGGAGAGAGTTCAGGAACTGGAGCGTCTGTAACTGGCTGCAAAGGAACGACAGAGCCACAATTTGCATGTTATTATTAATAAATGAAAACATGATTGTTGAAGTTCATTCATGTATTTTTTAATCATTTGTCAGCTTCTTCATGCCACCTGCCTTTTCAGAGTTTATTTGCAGAATCCTAATGACTGTTGATATTCAGTGGAGTATCATACGGACATGCTTCCTAATCAACTTCAAAGCCTTGTCAACTTTGAGTCCATTAATATAAATTGAGCGGCATCCACTTCTACTACCTTCCTCAGTTCTTCTAAATCAAGTTGAATTAATGGGGAGTTCCTGATAGTAGTGTTTGAACCAGTACCACCAGCAGTAATGTCATTATTATATATAAATTATTAGAAAATATCTCTATTTAACTAAGTCTTCTGTTTTTTTTTTCCTGACTTTACTTCAAAGTAGCAGCGTCTCAAATGATGTAAACCAAATGAAGAAGAGTCGATGGGGCACCTTTAACTGGAAGCTCAAAAATACATCGTTTCACTTTATGAACTGATAATATGACTTTGGCCACAATTCTATACTATCCAAACCATCACCACAGCCTTCTTATCGCTATCTCAAAATCAGAATGATTTACCTGGAGTGGACAGACAGTTCCCCCTGGAAAGGGCTTATCTGATGCCAGTGCAGCAGCATGAGAGCAGATGGTCCTGAAGAATTTAACAGTAGATACTGAGGGCTCGCTTCTATCCTCCTACAACCCGCTAGTTTGTGAATCCAGCCATCTACGTCGCCTAAGCTGTGATCAGGAGAGTCTATGTGGAAGACCCAGCAATCCAACAGCACCATCAGGCTCAGCAAGTCCTCTTTAGCGTCATCTGGGCACAATAAAGAAGATAACAATAAACATATACTGTATGTGTCAAAATGAACGGCACAAGTTGTAGGCATTTGTGATTTTACCTGTTTTGAGTTCGGGTGTTTTCAACAGCTGGGTTTGGAAATTACTGTGGATGTCTAAGGCAACTTGACCACAATGCAGAACAACCGGTGTTGGGTTGCTCACACCGGCAAAAGCATCTCGTCTCTGGACGTAATGGAGCATGACACTGCACTTGACACAGCCAGAGATCAACAGAGGCGTCAGCCTGGCCACAGCGGTCACAGTCAGTCTGCAAGTGTTGAGATCAGTGGGTCTCCCGACATTGTGCTGCTTGCTTCTTTTGGCTGCAGGCTCTGAGAATGTGTAGGCAGAGGAGAGTGAGGAGGAGGAGGAGGAGGAGGAGGAGGAAGAGCAGGGTGCAGGGAGCCAGAACACTTGGCTCTGGGCCTGGATGACTGCAGGTGTTGAGCTCTGACCCGTCTCTGTCAGGATGGATAAGCTCACACTGGCCACTGGTCTGGAGCAAAGAAACAACACATCACTAACAATCAGATATCACATGGACAGGAAGTAATCAGATAACCTTTGTCTGCCTGTGAACTGATTAAGAACACCAATATCTCCGGGTGGTGAAATTTCATCAGCTGGACAAGTGCACCAATCAAACCGGCGATTTATGGGCTCTTGAGGGAATCGTGTCAGAAGTAGTTTTTCCTCCAAATAAAAAAAAGAGAGAACAGGTTGATGAAGGAATCTGACATGCTTACTCCGTTAGAGGTAATCGTTTACACAGATTTAAAGACTTTGAATCATTGATCAAAACGTTGAGGTCTTTGAAGACAAGTAGAACTTTACCTCCCACATCTGATGTACGCAACGTTATCTGTCAAACCTCAGCGAACGGCCCCATAATGTTTTAGTTCTGACAAAGTCAAAGTCAAACCAGGCAGCAGTGATTCGGTCTGACAGCTGGACAGCGTAGTACTTTCAACTTGATTAAAACATGGAGCGCCACAACAATGTTGCCCGTATCGTCGCCATACACGCATGGATCCACACAAGATGAGCTCATTATGCCCAACAAGACACCATCACAAGTGGATGAACATTTGTTTTAGAAGAATCAACACTAAGAGTTCATCTTCACACAGAAACAAATATATACAATTCAATTTCCATTAATAAACAAATCATCTTTACACTGAGCTGTCGGTAGTTAGTATCACTCCCACAACCAGTCGCTCCTCGACGATGCGATGCCACAGCTTGTCAACTTGAGGTTGTGAAGACACTGCTGGCATGTCTTGCGTCTTTTCATCCTTTGACTCATCATCATCATCATCATCACAGTCCCACAGAGCAACGAGGCCTTCCTGGACAGAAAGAGCAGAGACTATAATCAGCAATGACAAGTGTGTGTGACAGCATTGACAGCAATAGCAGTTTACGTCAGACATTTCAATTTCCCCAGATACACATGTGTAGTGGACATTTAAAATACTATTTAAATTCCAATGAAAATACTATACAACTTCCCATTTTTTAATTATATTTTACCTACATTTCATTATCATAGCAATGCCATGAAAAACTACAACAGCTAATATCAGAATGCTGTCAATATATCATGACTGTCATAAGATGTCATGTTATCTCAGTGGTAGAGGGATGGCGACATTTAAGGTATAACATGACCTCTCTGCAAAGAAAAAAGAGCTAAATAGCGTAAGACAACAGGCAGTCGTATGTGTGCTGTACCTGCTCATGCTGGGTGAGCATAGTCTCTCTTCCTGAGATGGCGTTGGTGAGGGCTTGGACCGACTGCTGCAGAACTCTGCTCTTCACTCTCATCTCTCTTTGAAGCTCCTGGAGCACGGTCAGTCCACTCTAAATAACAGATTACATTTGATTGAGAGTTAATAGACACAACACATAATGGGTGTCTGAGAGGTGAAAAAATGTCTCATATGAATAACAATCAGATAATCTATGACAATTTCAACACATCAGCATATGGCAAATGTATGTAGAACTACATTTAAAATATGCAAATTGATGTTCAATGAAATGAACAACATAGCTTATAACTGCTCACCTGTAGTCTGGACTCTAAAGCTCGGAGGGTGAGGTGATCGTTCTCTGGTGGAGGGGGTGGTGTCGTTGGTGCTTCGCTGTCCTGTCCGCGCTGAAATTAGCATTTTCAATGAGTCGTGGTGACCACCTTCTGATGTTATCAACGGGAATAGTTTACATACACTGCACATGAGAATGTAAATGTATGCCTTACAGAATATGAAATGCCACAGAGGTCAGTGAGGAGAAACTTTTCCAAAGGTTGTTCTGTTATGTCATGATCCTTAAAAACCAACAGCATTTGGTCTGTTCCACATCCCAGGAAGTCATCCACGTGGACAGAACTGACACTTGACCAGTGGGAGGCTATCTGGGGAGAGAGTTTATCAAAGTAGGTTTATAAAAAAAAAAAAACTGTTAACTGAAAATACAGCAATTAAAAATCCAGATATTGAAACCTCAGCTTACCTGAAATGTTTCCTTCCACATTGCACATACGTGCCCCTGGTGAAACGATATGACGAGCAGGCAGCCACTTCTTCCTGTGTTGACCACCTGAATATTTTCGGGTTGGTCAAAGGGGAGCTGACACACGTCCTTCACGATGCCATTCTCAAAAAGAACGAGTTGCTGATTAGAAGTTGCTGCGACCACAGCAGATTTCAGCACATCGTCCACTTTTTCAGCTGACAGCACCAAGATGCACCGTGTGATGCAAACGTAGGGATGTGGCAAAATCACATTGCCATCGAACACTTGTCCACTTTGAACAAAATAGCCCAGGGCCTGGCCTGTGGAGTGAGTATTAGAGCACTGGTCTGGAAGGCTTTGCAGTCCGACAACAAATACCTGTTCTTTGTGGAGTGGGAGTTCTCCAATAACACAGTGGGACAACTGAATGGGAATCTGCCTCACCTCTCCTGTCTGCAGAGACGCATGGAAGACATTGCCAGCATGGCTCCACAATACTGTGGGGCCTCGGAGGATAGACACATTGTCCCTCATTTGATAAGGTAGTTTAAACTCTATGCAGGACTCCAGTCGGTTTGAGCTGCTCAGTGTGAGGAGGCTATACTGGAAGCTTAAGCCTTTGTTGCTCTTCTTTGTCACTAAAACGCACGGCGTGGTGACCCTCTTCTGAACGTTTATGGCACATTTACATTTCACAACATCGACACGCGCTGATCTCTTCCTGCTGATGACAGCCGCTCCATCAGCTGCCTTCACAAACGCGTTGACTTCCCGTTCAAACGAGAGGCTGCAGAATATTAACTCACTTCTTTCGCTGTCATGTGTGGCTGAAGCTCGTTTACAGTCAAATAGGATTATCTTTCCACACAGGGAGAGTCGATGGGGACTGGGATACAAATCTCCCGAGAGCAATCCCTCCATTATACCACAAGGAAAGCTTCGGGTGCCTACCAGGATCGATCCCTCTTCATTTAACGTGATTGCTAAGTATTGAGCTGTCACTTTCAGGACGGAAGTCTCACCAACGAGTACATTTAGACGACTAGTTGGTATGTTTACTTGTGAGAGAGAGAAATGCATCCGTATCCAGCGTTTCACAGCGCGCCAATTGATATTGAACACTTCCTGATAGTCCGAGTGCATTGTGGGTAAGAAGCTGGTAAACAGTAGTGAGTTGACGATATTAAGCTTTTGTCATTTTTAAACGAATTATTGAATAAATATTGATTAGATAAACACTTCTCTTGTAATACTGAATACAGCTCAACACCGCCTCTGATCTTTCCGTTCAAACTATAGCGGTCGATGGTTTAAATACACTATATATAGAAGGGGCGTGGCTACGTGTCGAGCCAAAATGGCTACGACTGGACGTCAGTGACACTCTCCGCACTGATTCCCCCAACTCAGTTAGACGCTAGCTGACTAGCTAGCTCAACGGGGAACTACCACAGAGACGGAAACCTGATGATAGCTGAATATGGCCGAACTTGAGCAACACGAAGGAGAACAGGTATCGACTAACTACTGTTAGTAATTAGTGAGTAATCTGTTGAAACCAAAAGACGTGTCTTAACCTTAACTCACTCTGTTTTTGACAGGACATAGAGAAGAAAATAGAGGAGACGAGGCAGAGATTCAAGAATGAGTTCCTCCAAGGTAATACAGACATTATGAAGAAGCCGATATGAACTTTTCTGTTTGAACAGTTACGTGCTTTAATTTTGGGGTTATGGTCAGCTTCATAACTCAAATATCGTATTGGTTAAATGTCCACAAGTTAGCTGTAATTATAGTGTCATGTTAATAACATGACCTAAATGCTCAGAGCCGATAAGCTCCAGCAGATAACGTTTACTAACCTGTCTAACATTAGCTCTGTTGGTTTTGACTAACACAGTACATTGGGTGTAGCATGGTGCTCTCCAGGTGAACTTTAACTGAGTTTACAGCACAATGTGGTCACTGGTTGAAATTGAAACCTTGTACTCTGACCTCCTTTTTGTATTCGGAGTGTCATGTGATTCAAGCATTTTTATTATGTTTTACAGATACAACAGATAAATATGACTCCAAAGATGTGGAGAGGCTTCAGACAGAGGACGCTCTGGTGGAGGGCTACCTGCAATGGAGAATATATGTCGTGGACGACGCCTTGAAAATGATCGATGAAAGTTTTCAGTGGAGAAAAGAGTATGGTGTGAACGGTACGAAGTGTCCAATCTGACCAGTTTTGGTTTTTTTTTTTGGTTTTTTTATAGCTGTTGCTGCAGGCTAAGTGGTCAGTACCAAAAATGTTTTGAAGTTCAACATCCAGTCCTGTCAAAAAATATCAAATGTTGACATTTACAAGCTTGTGACACAGACCGGGTCGTGTACTCGCTGCCCTGGGATGAATCCGGACAGACTGTCATTGTGTGTTGAACACCCAGATCTCCATGCATGGAGAACAATCCCCACTCATTCTGCTCTCTGAGGAATTCTTGTTTGCTCGTCTTTTAATCCAGCAAATTCAATTTGTCAAGCAGTTGTTTTTTGTAAATTCGATTTGTTCAATGCATTACTATCCAGGGGCATCAGGGGCCGTATCAACAAGACCAAGTGTTGTTAGTTTGTATATCAATTTATAGATAAGGGCTGGTTATGAGTGTGTTGCAGTATTTTCTGTCAGCTCGAGCAGTGTCAGAATATAGGAAGGCTCGGATCCTCAACAGACGGGTTTGATAAAACTATTGAATAATGGCCTCTACATCTGTTCAGTCCAGTTTCATATAAAGTTGCTGCAAACCAATTTTAGTTATCGTTTGTGCTTGTGATGACTAATCTTTGGGAATGTCTTTGCTCAATATTTCCTGGACATCATGAAAACTATGAAAAAATGTCTAATTGAAATATGTTGCACCTTTTAAGTAGTTCAATTAAGTATTAAAATCATCTTGAAAACTCTGTAGGAACCTTACTAACAACCATCGCCCTTTGCTTACAGTACCTTGTTCTCTATAGCTACTATTTCATAACAAACATCAGAGTAACGTGTGTCTGTGTGTGTGTTTCAGACCTCACTGAGAGCAGCATTCCCAGATGGATGTTTGAAACCGGTGCTCTCTACCTGCATGGCTACGACAAAGAGGGCAACAAGCTCTGTATGTACATGCTCTATTACAGACAGCAGACCTTAACGTTATGCACTTACAACCTTTCTTCAATTGTTAGAAAAGATGTCTGTTCCATTTAAAAGTGTGTACCCGTCACTGAATTTTCGACACAAATACAAAACAACTAAAACCACAATTAATACTTTTTTTTTTTTTTTTTGGTTTTACTTTGTTTTAGTCTGGTTCAAAGTAAAGCTGCACGTCAAGGATGCAAAAACCATCGTGGACAAGAAGAAGTACGTTGCCTTCTGGCTGGAGCGGTATGCCAAGAAAGAACCTGGGATGCCGCTCACTGTCGTGTTTGACATGGCGGAGTCCGGCCTCGGTAACATAGTAAGTCCATCAGGATGTTTTTAATATGCCAGTAGCATCTTCATTCCCTCTTTATTAGATTAGCTTTACTCTTATGTTCATTTTCTTTCTTGTGACCGTCACTGAAATGCGATGGAGCATCCTCGTTTTGAGCTGCGGTTCTTGCAGGGACTGATGCTCTTTAATGGTTTTACACTTCTGAGATTAAAGTAACCTTTAAATCCCCGTTGGTCAATTCGAGTGGGCCGTCTAATCCGCAGACTCGCCGTGTCGCAGGCGTTAGCTCCTTGACGGGAGCTCTCTCTTGTCAGCGAGTGTGTGTGTGTGTGTGTGTGTGTGTGTGTGTGTGTGTGTGTGTGTGTTTCATTGGCTCGGCTCTCTCCTGGAGAAATGTCTCAATTAAGCGCCAATAAACCTGCACGACAGGAAAAGGATGAATCGCTATGCAACCCAAATATGAAATGAGTAGATTTAGAAGATCAGTTTTGGAAAGCAAACTTGTCGAGCTGGAGCCAGTATGATCTCGTTAAGGCTCGGAGGAGAGTCTCCTGCATAGCAATGAGGCTTCTAGCCAATTATTGAGCTGAGTCAGAATACGGAGGCTTTATCTGTTGAACTATCGGCTGCTCTGCTGATGAGTAACATAAAATAGTAAGATGAACATTCATCATATTCACCTAGAAACCGATTCAAAGTGTCACGTGGATGTGCATTTTTTTAAATGATGAGATATTCTTGCACTATCTGAAGTGTAGAGAGGATTCTTGCTTTGGAGAACCAATGAATGGAGAAAATAATGGTTGTTAGATCTTGGTAATGCAATCAAATGGTGACAAAACAGCAACTTTATATAACTGTCTATTTTGCAAGTGGTTCATATCTAAGTATACGTGTACTATATACACGTGTACTGTTGTTCAGAAAGCCAGAAGTCTTTCTCAGGCAGTATTTTAGGGGAAGTTAGCGAGCCACCAGAGAAGTTTGAGACTAACTTTCTTTTTCGGTTTAAGTGAGTCGCTTCATATGTGGAGGCGGTTTAAGAACGAACAAACCGGAAGTGTCTTTTTATAGCTGAAGACCTGAATGTGGTTTAAATCCTTGTTATTTTCCACTCTGTTTTCAGGACATGGAGTTTGTGAAGTACATCATTAATTGCTTCAAAATATACTATCCAAAGTTTTTATGTGAGTAAATGTTACTTATAAAAAGCACAACAAATATATTTCAATACTCAAGTCACACTGAGACACTTTTTTTTAACGCTTTGACCTTTTCTATCATTTCAGCCAAAATGATCCTCGTGGACATGCCTTGGATCATGAATGGTGAGAATGAGACAACCTTCTCTCCGTCACAATTCGTATGAATAATCAGACTCTGACATCTTGAGCTTAATGTTTTCTATTTCAGCCGCGTGGAAGATCGTGAAGTCGTGGTTGGGTCCCGAGGCCATCAGCAAGCTCAAGTTTGCATCCAGGTCTGAGATCCAGGGATTCATCGACCTCAAGTACCTACCGCCTCACATGGGTGGAACGGTACGTATTATGTCTTGTAATAAGTATTTATTACCTTTCAGTAGAATCGTGTTGTAATAATGCTGCGATTCACAAATTCTGTATACAAACCACTTTAAGAAATATCTTTCTTGAGTAGTGTTTGTTTCACACTGAAATCTGTAATATTGTTTTATCAATAAAGTGCATTTTTATGTCCGTAGATGCTCTCCATACTGGAACTGTTGCACAGAATTTCTCTTGCCTATAAGCCACATTTTGTATTCATTAATATGGAAGTCCTGAGACTTTCTGTACGTTGACCGAAACTGAAATTGACAATGGACGCGCTTTAAGAACTACGCGTGTAATTATTATAATGTCTCTGGCTGCATTCCAGGACCCTTTCAAGTACAGCTACCCACCTCTTCCCGACGACGACTTCCAAACGCCCATCTCTGAAAACGGACCAATAGTCAGCGAGGACGAGATGGAGAGCAAAGACGGGGAAATGGAGGGCAAGGATGCCCTTGAGTCCAGCTTCAGCTCTGAGATTGCAGTTAAGCCCAAAAAGGTACAATTTCTTTCAAGTTCATATCCGGTTTAATAGAATTTAGAAGTGCATAAAAGAAATCCGGAACTCAAATTTAAAGACAACATTGTCACCCTTGTACACCGTTTCATTTCATATATATGTATTATAGTTAAGAGGACCAGTGTTGCTGTTATAGGAGGAGTCGCTCTCGTGTTTGTTTGAGCCGTGATTCATTTACGATTCTGCCATTTTTCAGGCAGCGGCGCTCTCATAGATTTGAGTTCTGCTGCTAGTGAATAGATTCCTCCCGTTTCTTCTTTCACTCACTTTCTATAAGTTGAGCTGATGACAGCATGTAATCAGACTGCTCCGTGGAGACAAGTGTGAATTAAGTGGCGAGTAATGCCCTGATTTGGAAGACGTTAAGCTCTTGCTCATTGTCTCAGTGAAGGTGACTCTGAATGTCTTTGGCTGCAATTAGTTCCTTCCAACAAAGCCCATGCTTCCCAGCCAGCGCCCAGCTCCTCATATGGTCATATGTCAAGTCAGCTACTTGTTGCTGTGTGTCCATATAGCGGGGTTTTTTTAGACTGTGACGTCACCAACGCCTTTTTCTGACAAGTTGAGAGATTTTACCTAGAAAAGCGTTCGGAGCAGCTGCACAAAAAAGTCTGGGGAGAAAAAAAAAGAAGCTGGGTGCAGTGCTTTTTCTGTAGGCGGCATCACAGCTCTCTCCTCTTTGGGAACAATTTGGGGGGGGAAAAAGACGGCACTCAGGAAAAAGAAACCGCTTTGTGGACACTCAGCCTAAGCTCTTTCGTGCTGTAGCTAGAGTCGTACTGTCACCAAACAGCAGCACGCAGCCTCTGGTGTAGCTCATTCACAGGCGTTATCTTAAAATATCAGTGCAGCCACTGCCAACCTCGCCAAACCCCGCCCACTTTCAGTCAAGACCGCAGTGTACGTCTCATATTTTACCCACGCCCTACTGTACAATCCGCCCCTCGCTTTATAATCTATGTTTTGCTGTCACGGTCAGGGCGGTCAGATTTGGGGTTAACCTACATTTTTAGGACATGACTGAGCTGTAACTCGGGGCCGTTTTTTTTTTTTTTTGTAGCCTGCTGATCTGACTATAGGACACAAAGTGTATCTGTTGGAGACGTGCTGCGTCACCCAAAGCTACTCCCATGAGCCTCCTAAGCCCCAACAAACAAACGGTGCTCCCATTGTTGATACATCACCACATTGGTCATGCACGGCAGATTTAGAGTTACAGAAAAGAGATATGCAAATCAATTAAGTGTTGGCCTCAAAAATAATCTACATGCACAGGTTTGTCAATATACTCATGGAATCACCTGACACTGTTGTCAGTGCAAACATGCCCTGCATAGCCCTGTGGAAAAGGGACATAACTGATGCTAATCTCAACAACTATCTTCTTCAAGCACTACAGTCGTTACTGAGGCGTGTGAGTACATTACAGTATAAGTAAGTGTCTGTATATGGCTGACTGCAGTAAGATGGTCTCGGGGGATCATTATTAGGGTGACGATGACTATTCAGGGTGAGAGAATATTAGGTCAACCGGTTTTTCTTCGTGATCTGAATTGTATAGCGATGAAAATTGATGTTAACGGTTATTCATGCGACTACTGCTACTTGCCGTAGGGTAGTATGTAGTACCAAAAATGAATCCAGGGTATCTCAAACCAACACAATACGAAGTCAAAGGCCAGGTGAAGTCGTGGATACAAGAGAGTGGAGATGTTAGTGAGAGCTTAAGAGACATTTGTAGTTGTTATAGCAGGTTAATTAGCAGTTTACTATCTTTTTAATATTTTCTCAAATCTCCTGAACTTTTCTGGTAGCGTGTGCGGTGAATAAACCCTGGCATACCAGCCCTTCAGCCATTCAAGCCCGTCTGAACGCATTCCGCACTACTGCGTCAAAACCAACTTGTCTAAATAAACAACACCCCCCCCCCCCTGGCTACCGGCACCCATCCCCACCCGAGTTCCTCTGGGTTCCAGGCAGCCCTGTGCCGGTAACTCGCTGGCTTCAGGAAGCTAATTGCCTTTCTCTCTGTTTTCAAACAAGGGCTGGAGGTGGTAGGGCAGTGTAGGATCACACCCACACAAGAAGCTCAGAGTCCCGAAGATTTCTACTGGCTGGAAAAGGCAGGTGCGCTCACGTGACTGAATTGTTGTGAGTGCACCTCCTTCACAGTCGACCAACATCATCTCAACCCCTGCACCCCTGTCCCCTTGACCTGTCCTGGACCTCAAAATTTCAAATTTGGCCCCCCTAAATAGTATTGCACTGCTGAAATACCACAACGTTTCTGACTTTGTTATGAAGGACTGTAGGCTAACTGAAGGGTAGCCTAACTTTTTGCACTACAACACTCGACCAAGCAAGATACTGTCATATGTCACTGTGAGATGCACTCCTAGAGAAGGGTTAGAACAGGAACTGTTCCCCATTAAAAATGAATTCATCTGTGTCCTTTAACCTCAGATTAAAAACTACTAAGATAATGCTGTACTACAGTAGACCAAGTTATTAACACTCAGCTCTTAATATTTAACCATGCTTGCCTTTGAGGCGTTGTTTTTAACAAAGACCGTGTGTGCCTTGTTCTACAATTGTGTTTTTGATATGTACTGTGTAACTAATAGACACTCCTCATTATGAGCATTTCACTAATATTTCAGTTTATGATGATGTATAATCGTCAATGATTTTTTTTTTGTCTTTGCATTACGTATTTTACATACTATGTATAGAAATCCTGAAGTTAAGTTAAATTTTATATATTTGTACGTGATTATTATAGTGTGCTGCTAATTGTTTTTGTCAAAATAACTTGACATTTATTTTGATCTTTGTTAATAATGGAACTATGTTTCCATGAGCCTTACTAATATGTGCGAATATAATTTCAATTATAAAAACCTGTATGTCAGCATATTTCAATGTTTTGATTTTAACTAAGAATTGGAGCATGTTTTACTTTTTTTTTTTTTCTTCTTTTTTTTTTCCTACTTCCATGATTACCTGATTGTGTTAAAGTTGCTATTTTAAATTGACGAATAAATCGAGACATTTCATCAGCAGCTGATTGTCTCTTGATGTCTTCATTGTGGCAGTTGCATGACAGTCGGCCATTAACCTAAGAATCACACACTTCCCCTCTGAGTCACAAATGTTCGCATCACATGCAGAGTCTGCTCACCTTTGCCCTCCCTCCCTCCCTTCTGCAATGCACTCTCTCACCCATCTGTTTTACACAATAAGTAGTGCGAGCAACGCTGAAAGCAACCATTTCCCCCCAACGTACTTTAGCCGTTAACGCTTATGCAAACATTTCACAGTTCCTCTCCCATCAGCTGTTTTTATGATCTTGTGATCTGTCTCTGTCTGGATGATTGGGATCAAAGTGTATGGATGCTTTTTGCTGAAGTGAAAGTATCTCGTGTCTGAGTGATATGACATCTGCTCTGATTGAACTATTTTCGGTTAACTTTATTTGTTTTGTCAAAAGTCACGAGTCTGTGAGACTACCGGGAACAGGGGTCAGGAGTCATCACGGGGTTTTCTCCGTAAAAGAAAATGTACTTTGGCCAACGCAACACTTCACCATTATTTCACAAGAACCGTTTATTAATGAAACTGATAGCTTTCTCCGCATGCGGGGCAAAGGTCAAACATTTCATTTTCAGGGATGGATCCAGATAAGGGTCGCATGATAACACTATCGGTGTTCTGAGTCTCTTTTTCTAATTAAGTGCTCTTTGTTGTTTCAGGTGAACTTCTTGGAGGACAGCATGAGGTCAGAGGACAATGATAAAGGAGACACGAGTGCCAGGACCAAAGGAGCCAGGAAGCCACTAACCACCTTCAAAGGCCCTCTGCTAGATGTTAGGTAGGCCTTCCCCTTTGCGCTCTTTATACTTCCTCATGAGCAAGTTGAACAGTTCATGACATTGGGTTCACACCAGGCCACAACATTGCGGTTAGAAAGGGAAAGAAGAGGTTGTGTACACACACTTGCATTAACGAGCTCTCATAAACCATAGTGATGCAAAAACAAGCAGATGGATTTCATAGTGGTTCAGCTTTGGAGACTGCGCTTAAATCTCGCATCTACTATCACTTGTGAGTTGACTGGGGGACCCTCCTTTTTCAAGCATCGTCGGTCAAGTTGTTTAGTTCGCAACAGAGTTTGATTGACGGCTTTCACAGAGGCCTAAATAAACCGGGCAAATGGACTTGGTTTGAACCAAAACAAAGAGATTATGAGTGAAAGCTTCTCTGCACTGCAAGTAGAAGAGGAGACGTGAGGGCTCCGACGCCAAAGAGGCTGACCCGTCATTGTTGGTTTGATCGCCAGAACTGATGGTAGATTAATCTACTAGACCGTCTTATGTTCCCCACATTCTCCAGCACAAAGCTTGTTCAGGTGTTGCACTGTGGTTGACTGTACACTCTGTACACAGTAGCTAAAACAACAACAACCTGAACATTGTAACCTCGTGAAGGTAAGATTTGTTTTGCCAAACTGTTTTATTATACTGCATTCGTTTTAGCAAGGCACACCTAATAACCTGACCATACGTGTATTAAGGATCCATACGCAAAAATACCTTTTTTTTATTGCTTTGTACAAATTGTCTTCACATATTGGCTCAAACTGTAAAGTCATTATTGACGTGTTTGTACCCTTTTTATAGCCCAATTGATCTGGTCACATGTGGGCCGGGATTACGGACGCTACCGACCAATAGCTCAGCGAGAGACAGCGGCCAATAATCAATGCACACGTCGTCTAACGCATCATACGTTTTTAATTGAGCATTCGTTGAATTGCAAAGTGGGTGTCGACTTCAAGATCGCATGTTGCAAAGGAGTAAAGCAACTCGACGATGTGGTTGGTTCGTGGGTAAATACCGAGTGGTGCGTTCACACACACACACACACACTGTGTGATGTCCGTTGAGCTCTGTTTTTAGAGTAATGGCTTTGATGTGAGAATTCTGACAGCTCTGGGCTGTGAATTATAGTGATAAACAGATTTTAAATGAGCCTTAAATGCATTTATGTTTCTGAGCTGTGTTAGCTTTAATTCAAGGCTGGGGGGCTTTAGAGGGGAGCGGGGGGGGGGGGGGGGGGCTTTGATCTTGTGTTTGCCAAAAGGTTTCCAGAGCCCGAAGACTCGCTCTGAGCACAAGTAAGCGTCAGACTCTGTTTTACTGGGGAAACGAACGCAGGAATACTTGAAAAAGGAAAAATATACCTTTTTTGTTCTGAGAGGTTTGAGTCCATGAAACACAGCCAAAGCTGCATCAATGAGAAGCTTTCTACATACGAGGCAGATGCGATAATCCATTTGCTAGTTTCTTCTTGGCAAAGTTTAAAGTCCCCAATGCAGGGAGTGTTCACTGAGGCTGGCAAATCCCACACTATTTATAGCCAAGTTAGACTGTTGCAAACTTAGCTTAGAGACGTTTGCCAACAAGCGAAGTTAGAGAGCGAGACAAAGGGCCTCGTCTACAGATGTGCTTTGGATACGCTTTACATCATAGTTCTGTCCTGCTTAGTCCAAGTACAACTTCAGTTTAATGGTGTGTTTTTGCAACGCTGGACCCATCTGCTCTGTAACTCACATGTCCTGTGTTCTGCTTTTGACACACAATGAAAAACCAAAAGGGAGACATTTTATATTACATAGTTTCATGATGACGCTCCATTTTTTTTGTTGTTTTTGTTCTCGTTTCCAAACAGTTTGTTGAATGAGCCACCAAACCACCCTTCAGCTGGTAAAAGAGCACTGCTAACGTAGCGTTGCACTTTGTAGTCTGTGTAGATGCTCGCCTGATATCAGACTCGTCACACTTATATAGATGCCGGTGTGGTCCTTCATCTTAAGTGCCGCTTCTAACAACAGAGTGTCTGCTCGCAGTCCAAATGTGTTTCCTTTGTCTTTGCCTGCCAGCTGCTGTCAATCAAACACTGACTGGAACACGCCCCTCCAGTCACTGAGAGGGAAAAGAAGTATTTCTGATATTTCCTCAAACACCTCTGTTTTCTTCTTCTTTTTTTAATACAGTAACAACTATTAACATTCGTTTTAAAGACGCATTCTCTTTTACTGCAAAAAGGGTGACTCCATGTCATTGTTATTGGACTTTATATCTAATAATAATAATAATTATTGCCTGTTGGAGCACCCAGATGTGGCTTTTTAACTGAAAGCTGAAAGATCCATACATGCGTATATGGGTTATGAATAAGCAGCATGTCGGGGGCTTTGAGAAATGTAGATGGGAGCTGTGGCAGAATATTGAAATCTGAGAACCACAGCATGTTATCTCTGCGGAGGCCGAGGCTGGATAATTAACCAGGCAAACCGGTTGATCAACTACTCGATTGTGTGTCAGTCGGTTTGTTGTAATATGATAAGCAACATAAAAGCACATCTCATCTGAAACGATAAGGCTTGCCTGTCTTGTAGAGGGGTCTTTTGTCAAAACTTTGTTTTATATAGAAAATAAAAGGACCACAAACAGATAAACACAACTCAGTTTTTCACACAGAAAGCCCCTTTGCGGGGTGATGCAACCCGATCTAGAGTAATGAAAACAGGCTTGACAGAAATCCTGTATCTTAGTATGTTTTATTTTTTAGCTGCAGAATATTACCACCAGGTACAGGACTTGTAGCAGCCCAATCTGTATTAATACAATACCCAAGAAAGAAACGACACAACATTCTGTGACGTAGATGAAGACGCCTGTCTGCATCTAGTTGTTGTATCTGCACGAATACACACTTTAATGAATACACACTTTATTGCTCAAAATGTTGATGTATTCTTAAGACCCGAGTCTCTGCTTTTCACCATAACGTGACTCGCGGTGTTCTTGTCCTCTCCCTCCAGCCCCGCAGAGGAGCTCAGCTTTGGTTGTGCAGAGACGGAGAAGAAAAGCCTGATTATCCTGAGCAATGTAACCAACAATAAGGTGGCCTTCAAGGTGAGCGTGACAGTGCTCACATGCACGAGTGTGTACGGACTTGTGTGTTTAAACTTAAGGATGACATGAGTTGACACTTCTACATTAAATGATTGCTAAATCCTTATATTAGATCGATAAATCTGTTAGTTGATCAACAGAAAATGTACGTTTTGATAAGTGATTGTTAGTTGAAGGCATTTGTGAAGCAAAATGCCAATTCCCCTTTTTGTGTAACACAAAACAAACATTTTGAAGATGTCAAAGTGAACTGTGGGGAACTGTGAAGGGCATTTTCCCCATACCAACATTTATATTCAACAATAAGAATGAGTGTAATTTATCCTCCACAGGTGCGGACCACAGCACCCGAGAAGTACAGAGTGAAGCCCAGCAACAGCTGCTGTGAACCTGGAGCTTCAGTAGATATAGTGGTGTCCTTACATGGAGGTACGGCCCTCCCCTCCCGTCTTTTACCTTCCTAAAGTGCTGGCCTGACATACACATTTCAAAAGTGCTAAAATAATTCTCTCCCCAAAACAAACCATCAGACGACTGACAGTGCTGTGCGAGTTCAAACATTCTATGGCCTTTTTAAGCACTGTAATGTCAGTGGTGGTTTATTTTCCTCTCAATACTGTCATGTCAAGCACATAATACTTTTTAAATATAGCAATTTCTTCCACATTTACTGAAGAAATCGAACCCTTTTTGAAATGTATTGCCATGAGTTCTGGTTTAATGTTGCTCTGAATGCTTCTGTGCAGGTTCTCAGGCCTCTCCACAGGACCGCTTTCTGGTCATGGCTGCCGAGATGGACAACGCTGGATCACAAGAACTCGCGCAGTTCTGGAAAGATGTACCAAAAACCAAAGTCATGGAACACAGGTACGCACCCGTGCTCCTCATCCAGCCATGTCGGTAAATATGTCAACGAATTTGCACACTGCTCTGTTTCCACACAGTCCTCTCAGTGGACTTTATAGGCTGCATATGACCCCGTCGGCGTCCGCTCATTAGATTGTGACTTTCCCACAGATTGCGCTGTCATGTTCTGGAGAGCGTTAAAGCGTCAGTTAATCCTCTCGGAGACGGCCCCGCGGAGACGGGGACCAGCAGGCAGCAGGACTTTAACACCACGGTGAGTTCTGGTGGAAGAGCTCCTTTCTTCGTTGTCTTTTAAGTTGCGATACATACTTTTCACCACCGTCTCATGTCTTAAGAGGTCAAGGACTCTGAGTTGAAACGGTTCAATATAGATGTAATTAACTTTTTTTTTTTTGTATTTGCATTGCATACTCCAAACACTTTCCACACCCAGGCACTGGATGATAACTTAACTTTCACATCAGTAAGTATAGCATGTAGGTTTATTAGTTTGTATGTTTATGTATATGTCTAGTAGAATGTTACCTGGTTTACATTCTTAAAGGTAAAGTTCAACATTTTAATAAATATGCATCTCCAGCATACATTAGGAAATAATGCAACGCTGCTGCTGTAAAGACAAGCACTTTTAGCAGGATGCTTTCTTGCAGTGAGTTAAATAAGAAAATGGATGCCACTCTCGTGTCTGTGTGCGTTAACTTTGGAGCTGTAACAGAGAAGCAGTTAGCCTAGCTTAGCATAAAGACTGGAGATAGGGGGAAGCGGTGAGTCTGGGTCTGTCCAATGTTAAAAAATATGCTTTCCAGCCCCTCTAAATGAACTCATCCTTCAGTTAATTAACACTGTGAATCTCATGTGTTTAATCCATACACAAAAATAATGAAAATGTATATTATACAGACCAAATACAACATGTTGACACACTTTTTAGAGGCGCTGGTACGTGTAGAGGTTTGTAGAAAGCCAGGCTGGTTGTTTCCCCTCTGCTCAGAGTCTTTAAGCTAAGCGAACTGCCGCCCTACTCCAGCTCCATACTTACCACACAGACACGAGAATGGTATCAACCTTCTCATCTAACTCTCGGTAAGAAATCGAATACGCGTATTTCACTCCGCTTCTTTAAAGTTACTGTACCTATAGCCTGATTTTGTTTCATTGACTTTCATTGCAAGGGAGTTAGATTGATAAACAAGGTCAGTGAACTAGTGTTTTGTTTGTTTTTATCTCGCCAGCTCATGCGAGTGATGACCTGCAACGCACGGATGGAGCAGAAGCTGAATACGTGTCTATGGGTGCAGAAGGTTCTCATTGGGTTGGTGCTGGTCCTCGTGGTGCTGAACCTGCTGTGTCTCCACCTGCTGAGTGCTTCCACGGGCCGCTGTCATGGAGGGGAGGAGGGCTGACTTTAGGGACATGCGAGTTGTTGTGGAGTTACGTATATGAAGAGATTGTACTTGAGTCAATGCATCAGAGACCCTCTTAACAATGTGACAAATCATGAACGTATTTTCTAAGACCAACCATGGAAAAATGTATGTGTATTTATTGCAATAGACACAATAGGAAGGAGTTATTTTTGTGATCATAATGTACAATTTTTATATATTATATAAATCTACAGAATATAAAATAAACAATTTCTGTCAACTTATCTTTTGTTGAACATGTTTTTCTCCTTGTAAAAACACAGCCGCCTTCATCCTGTAATGTAGATGTTTGGGTCACTCAGTAGTCCTGTTTTATTCACACCCTCTAATAAACCCTCATTAGTACAGAGGCGTCTAATTGAAAACACTGCAGTGTACGACCTTGCTAAACCTCTCCACACTCAGACCAAGGAGCCACTGGAGATCTAGCTGTCTCCTCTGTCTCCTCTATTTGTTTTGATTACCCCAACACTGGCAAACTAAAAATACCAAAGCAATTACTGGCGAATGCAAGGACGTGGCACAACCCACTTGTAGCTTAGTGGGAAGCACTGATATCTATAACAAGATCCAGCTCCGAGCAATCAGGACTTGAGCCGCCGCACCAGGAATGATCACAATTGGGTTATTAGATGTGTGCACATAAGGGTTGTCTGGTGTTAATATTTTGCAGCTTGTTCGCAGTAGGTGGTGGCTGCTCGCATGCGAGGGATGATTAGGGAGACTCATGAAATAATGGTTAAACTAATCTGATGTTGATTATAAACACTGGGCTGATTGTGGAGCTGCAAAATGTGCATTCCCTGAAGATTGCGTCGCTAGCTGTGTATTTCATTCTGTTCTAGTGGCAACTCTTCATAAAGTTCTTCTTATAAAACCTCTAATAATAGTGGCTTTGTAGAAGGGGTTGGTTTTAGAGCGAGTGTGAGCGATGGATGTAAAACTTGTGTTATGCGTTTCACTAAAAACTCTCACTAAGAAAATGCATTTGGTGCTATTTGGGTACACCCCAAAAAAAACAGCATCGGGGTTAATGGTGTGTTTGCCTCCAGAGAATGAAAGTAAAAGCTTTGGTTCCATAGGTGGGCTGATTCTAAGTGCATCTGAGTGCCACACAGTACCTAACTGAACCCAGGAAGTCGATCAGCTGCACAGAGCCAAACACAACACCACTATCAGTGATGCCTGAAGGGGAAAATTCTTTGAGCGGTCATGTGACACTGATTACCAGACAGATCGTCTCACCTGATTGCCTTTTTTTTCTCAGTAATTACTTGCAGTGGATACTGTACGTCATTCCCAGCAGCTTCAGACGTCACAAGCTCCTCCACGGTATTGATCTAACATTAAACGCCAGTTAAATCGAAACCCGGTTCAATGTGCGCGTGTCCCACCCCCGGGCAGTCAGGCGATGTTTGAGGGGGCACCGATGATTAAGTTCAAGTGGCAAATTGGGGACATGAGGTCTTGATGGAAAGTCGATGAGCGCTGCATTAAACGAGAAGTGTGTTGAGCAGCTGTTGGATTGTGTCGCCGTGGAGAGGATGTCGATGTTCACGGTGAACTGCGGTACCACACACTGCCCCTTTTCATCATCTCCGTAAATGAACCATTGAAATCAATGCTTATGTTCATCCAGTGGTGGTAAGCATTACTCAGCTCCCATAATTGTGTAGTAACACAAAAAAAAAGGATATGGTCCATGACCAGTAAGAGCGTGCTTTATTGAACAGGTGTATTCTCCATCTTCACTATTTCTCCTTGCCATTCCCATCTATCTTAAACCTGTTTTCTGCTTTCCTTCTACGTGGGCTCTGTCAGCCCCACTGATTGGCTGTATTCACAGACAAACACTCAGAGGTCAGTGAACCCTTGAAGAGTTTTGGGATGGTGACGGCTGACAGGCGGCCAGGCCCTTTGGAAACGTTCCCAATGATGCCTCGCTCACACTCAACATGTATGCAGCTTGTTTGGACTAAACTATTGAGAGAATCAAGATGTGAAGATAGATCTACTTTGAATGCTCCTGCTTCAGGCAGCGGATAAACAAATGAAGACCAGGAAGTCGCCCAGCTCATCTTCAACACTAGATTTGGGCAAGGGAAAGAAGCAGTGCCCTAAATACAAGATTGTAGTTTTTGGTTTCTATCATCTGAATTATTGGGAAAGAGAAGTTGTATAGATCACTGATTTGTGGCTAATAAATGCCTGATTCTTCGCTTTTTATGTATATGTTTTGTGAATGCATGTAGTTTTCATGTAATGCTTTTTTTGGTTTGCTTTGTGTGCAGTGCATGCCTCATTAGATTTTGGGGAAACAGCTGTTATTTCACAGAATCATTTGCATAATACCCCAACATATCCTGTGTGTACACAAACCCGAGAACATTCGATTCTTTGTTTTTGCAGTGAGTGAAAAACGATATGCAGATATATTTATATATTTTGACTCTTTTTAAACATAGTTTGTAATCATACAGTGCATGTTTTAACATAAGCTATACACTGTAGCCTAAGTACAACTTTATATCAGTGTTTAATAATGCTCCGTTAGTGATTTACAATCTAAAGCAACACATTTGAAACTAAAAGAGACATTTTAAATTCAATTAAAAATGTGAGGGAGGAGGTAAAAGAAAGAAATCGTTTTTCAAACCTCTGATAGTTTGTGTGCGCTGGATGCTGACTCATGGTTGCATATCTACGTTAATTTCTCTGACTGAAGTCAATATTAGTACTCTTAGCAGCCTTTCAGCTACATATGACAGATAGAATCCTAAGATATCCGATATCTTTTTATTTGTGCCTCGTTTTCATTATTTAGTCATGATAATTGCAGCACAACACTATATGATCATGTCATGGTAATCTAATCTCTCTATTGATGTGTCCAGCTTTGACAATGTTTTCACCATTTCAGTTTTGAAACGACTCAACTGGAGACTACTTATATTTACTATGTGCCCTGCAAGTACCAACAACAATAAATCATTTTCAGGAAGTGTGTAGAGACAACATATACAAGATATGAACAATATTTAATGTAGGTTTGAAGGGGGGGGGGGATCATCAAATACAGAAGCTTTAGTTTCCACTAACACAATCTACAATATAAACTGGATAGGGCCTCTGTAATCTAAAGAATGTTGTTTCAGTATGTTAAACCTTATTTAACATTAATGATGCAACATTTAATAGACAGTTTGAGCCCACATTCTCATTTTTTAATATGCATGTATTTTTTGGTTTATAAATACTTAACGATAAAAACTTGCTCCAAGTTTTCACATAAAAGTGCAGATTGACCCCGAGAATCAGTTTGTTAGTAGAGATCTGTCACAAAGAGAGCAGGAGGTCATTACCACCACAACCATGAGCCATGATGTAATGTTCTCACTGCAAGATTATGCAACTGCACCCCCTACTGACCTAGATGTTAAATGCTCAGAGTCTGACATTAAAAGAGTGATTCAGGGCATCGGATCTCCCCCTGGGTCTGATTGGTAGAGAAGATACTGTTTCACTTCTGTAGGGAGGTGAAGGTCGTGAATCCCACCCAGCCTCTGCTTGCCCACAGTTTTCCTGATGTGCAGCCGGCACAGCTGCATCAGAGGAGACGCTCCTGGGCAGGCGCCAGGGTGGAGAAGCAGGAGCCGTGACAGAGACATGTTTGGGTTATTAGCTGCTGCTCGAGGCATCAGCCCGCTGTAAAGGCCACAGTGAAATTCACCACAGTGCCGCTACTCGGTTAGTTTGGATTGAATACCTCCCACGTGTCTCAACAGCCTCTCCACCAGGCTGTTTGGAGGTGCGAGGTCCAGCGGCTGTTTGCCCTCTGAGTTCCTGAGGCAGCGATCGGCCCCGTGGTCGAGCAGGACCGACACCATCTCAGGGTTTGACTGACTGGCAGCGATGTGCAGCGGCGAGTCACCAGACACACTGCTGTTCACACTGGCACCTAAAGGAGAGCAGAGACTATGAGGTATGATGTCCTCACAGCACATAACTAGTGGAGAGACTCGCTGACAGCTCAGTTGAAGCCGTGCACAGAGCACCATTTATCCTCTTTATTGCTTACATCAAAGATTTTGGGCCTTTTCCTACTTAGATTTCATTTACTCTCTGGTTATGAATATTCAAATCAGTAAGCCCCCCCCCCGAAATATTTACTTTACACTGTAAAACACGGCATGCATTTTATTTTTCACAAGCACTGCATTAACCTTTAATTTTGAGGTACTTTACTTTCCTTTTGATACCATTTAATACTTACATTTATCTGGCAGATTATGGTTTTTCATACAAAACTTCTGATCAGCTAATCACATAAAAGTAGCACTATTGCAATAAAGAAGTACTCCATTACAAGTATAAGACCAGCGCTGAGTATGTCAAAAAGCATGTTAGTATCATTGGCAGTGTATTTAAAGTGTTCTAAATATAAATACTATCAACATTATATCATTAGATTATCATTTCTGATACATTAGTAAGTAGTAATTTTAGTTATTGGTCAAAGTGGAGCTAATTTGAACTATTTCATATACTGGTGGGTTGTTTAATCTACAATGCATCATGGGTTATAAACTCATGTGTTTTGTATGCAACATCTGTCACTGAACAGTGCAGTAAAAGATAAATATAGTTTATGATTTTCCTCTGAATTATGGTAAATTAGAAGTACAGAGTGGAAGGAAGGGAAATACTCAAGTAAAGTACAAGTACCTCCAACTTGTACTTCAGTAAATGTACTTAGTTACATTCCTGTGCTTTTATATAAATTAAACCACTCAGCAGTTTCGCATGTGGTATCAAAGAGCTTAATGTTAAATTGCTGCTTCACATTATTGCATCAACAATAAAGATGTAATACTATAATAAACTGTATATAATAATATAATACTTACTTCAGGTACTTAAAATACATTTTGCTGATAGCATTTTTTGTCCTTTTACTTAAAGACAATTTTACTTGTAAGAGAGTATTTTACTCTGCGGTATTATTACTTTTACTAGAGTAATTATCTCGGTACTTCTTCCACCACTGGAAAAGAGTTGTCATGGTTTTGGATAGCATTATTATCATGTACTGTACATGCACATACACTGTATGTAGAGATGTATTGAAGAGGTAACCCCTCCCTTTGCCACAAACTGAGCTTTGATGAAGCAGTCACAATACAGAAATGACCACAAATCATTGTTATTACAGGTCGTCACACACCTAATAAGGAAATATGTCAGGCTTTATGTGATATATTGACTATGCATGAAGAAATATTACAGCTGATAGTCCCCTCTTTAACATAAAAGACGAACACATTCATCGGAGAGGTTCAAAGTTAAATCTAAAGGCATTCTTACCAAGTTGAAGCAGTTTCCTCACAGAACTCAGATGCTGATTTGAGCAGGCGACGTGGAGAGGGAACCCCGATTGGTCGATATACTGATCTACATCCGCACCGTGCTGAACCAGAGGCTGGATGCACTCTGAATGACCTAGACAGAGTTAACAGAATCATCACAGTGAGAAGTGATGCACTTTAAAGGATGCGCTTCCCAGGACAAGAATATGCAATCTTTTCACTTTGTAGCTCAAAACAACAAAGATTGTTTTTCATACATTATACATTTCTCAGACCTTTTCTGATGCGTTGGCGCTCTGTGCATTTTTGCAGTGACTGACGAAGCTGGTTCAGCATAGATTATCCATGTGTATGCACAGTGGAATATGACCTCTAACCTTTGGCTGCAGCCCTGTGGATTGGGGAGCTGGTTAGGGTGGTCCCCAGGGGAGTTGCCCCATGTTGGAGGAGCAGCGATACGCAGGTCACATGACCGCGGGCACAAGCCTCTGACAGGGGAGTTTGTCCATCAACCGTTGAACCGTTGACCTGCCATGAGTCAGTATTGTTTTTGAAGCAATTCACCATAAATTTGCCACAAAAATCTTTAAAAGTCAGAACGATAGACATGAAATGTTATGAAACTTTAATGTAACAAAGAAATGGTATTATATTGATGCTATTCATGGTGGATCTGCTATCAAACAGGCAATGTGCTGTGTGGGGTATTCACAATCAGACTTTGTATCTGCAGATTTGTGTTCGTTAATGTGTTATTGTGCGTGCTTGTGGATGTGGCTGTGTGCTGGTTTGTCGGGGTCGGGTTTAATCGCTTACTGATATGCACCAAAACAAAGTTAAACCCAGCAATAATTGATTCCTCTTAACTAGACCAGAGCAGGATTTGGGAGTTTCTTTTTAACAGAAAGACACAGAACATATCGTCTTCATTTGGGGTCGTCTTGAGTTTAGTTTATATCTACTATTTGCAAACATAACCAGACAGTGATGCCTTACTGACATTTGCCCCATTTTCCATCAGAAGCTTGGCGCAAGCCACGTGGCCTTGTAAACATGCTCCATGGAGGGGAGAAACCTGGTCCAGAGTGTTCAGATTGACGCATGTACCCTGTGAACAATACACAACACAAGTAGATCCACTGAGACATGTGTAGTAGATGCGCGTTTGAAGACTTTGCTCCAATCTCAATATGATCATTATGATGATTTTCAAGCAGCAAAAGCAGTTTTCTAAAGGGATAAATTGCATGTTATAATGATTCGTGCAGTATACTGTAACCTACAAAGTCTCATTAAACATTACCTGAGCAATGAGTCTCTGCAGAGCGAGGACACGTCCGTTAAAGGCAGCATCGTGAATTGGGGACCAGTCTGATTCGAAATCTAAGTGTAGACGTGACATAAAATACATATATATGCATTACAGTGACGCGGTAAAACATTATGTTCAAAGACGTAGATACTCTCCAGCTGCAGTGTCAGCATATGCTGCCTGTAGCTATACTCACCACTCATCAAAGGGTTTGAGAAAAAAGTTGCAGTTCCACTTTGACGTGCACTGGCTCGTGGAGTCTCTTTTTGTCCGGCAGACATACTTCACAGTGACGTCCAAAAGCAGTTTTATGGCCGGTTTGTTTTGCCCCGTAGGTTTTTTGCAACAGAGGCTGAACTGTATTGCGCTACCGGAAGTCAAAAAACATCTGAAAGAGATTTGGTCCTCATCTGTTTTCAGTATTTTTGTGGCTGGTCTTGGTGCTGTGATGTCATTTCCTCTTTGACAAAGTATGTGCCTACAGGAAACAGGCTGGTTGAATGAAGCGGTTGGGTCTCAACCAATGAAGGTGCAGAGAGAGAGCGGCATGTCGAGCAGGTCTGTATAGCTTGAGTGTAATTTGACACTGTACAGTCACACCCATCCTCTCCAGCAGGAGATGGGCGGTGTCCCATTTGGTTGAAGATGAGTAAAAGGGGAAATGAATCCATCTGCATGTATAAAGTTCTGCTCCACAGTAAAGCATTATGTATTATTGGTTTAAAGAATGTGGTAGAACGTAATGAGTTCCTACATGTAAAGATATGCCATCTGCTTATATTTCTTCCCATTGTGGCTGATTTAATAACACAGCAATACTTCTTTCCACTGATAAAACCTTTTTTATAGGCAATTCTTCAATTTTATGGGCTTGGCTAGATTTTCATGGAAAACTGCTAATTTATTTATATTTTATTTTAGATCGTTTTTTTTAATGTGTCGTAGCAATGAAGATGCCACTGCACATGTCACATTTTTATTTCCGTGCATTTAAAGTCCCCCGCCAGTAAAAAAAAATGTGTTTAACTTTTTGTTACTTCACGTAGATGTTTGATGTTCACTGTGATTGACGTTAGTGCAGAGTTTGACACCGGAAGGACGTTTTCACATCCATCTGCTGAAGGGGGGGGGGGAGGTTTTGTCGTGCCCTTCGTAAAATCTGACTTTGATTCGGATGATTTTGTGGCATCACAACTTGTGTCTAGCAGTTCAACTTTTGAAACACAACATTTTTTGCATATTCACAAGTTCTGGTTTTTAAAAGAGGGAGAACAAGTAAAGATTTAAAAATGTATTCATGATCGTAATTGTATAGTTTTTATCCAACATATCCAACTAATTATTAGTCAAAGCAAAGTAATTTGATCCGTCTTCGAACACGTCTGGAGGGAGATGTTTAATTTGTAAAATGAGTATCCTTACTTTGTTTCCTTAGTTGTCATTTGATTCGGAATACCTATAGTTTTAATTTTGTGATGCTCATGTAATTTTGCTGAAATAACAGCGAAAGAAAAACATTAAAATATCCCAAGAAGTTTTCAAGAAGTTTTCTTAAGTCCATGTAGTCAAAAGTTAAATAATTCAAGAGAATTTCGTGGCTTGCTTTGTAAAAACCAGGACATCCACTTATTTTTCAGACTTAAAAGAAAGTGGATGGGTGGCCTGATAATCAGACAGAACCTTTCCTTAAAGTCAAGTGGAAGGGTTCAGCACCCAGATTAACAAGACCCTGCTCTGCTTCAGTGTCCTCGAGTAAAACACTGAATCCCTATCACTCTGGTGATAAACTAATCTAACCTCTGACTTCCCTCACAGAGTTCAATTACGTTCCCACGCAACTTCTGAAAATAAAATAAATCCAATTCCAACAGTTGTGTTATGAGTATGTGTTATACGCCCCATGTGGTAATTGAGTCCGGCTAGAGGCAGCGCTTCATCTTCTATAAATACAATACAACAATGTGTAGTTATAAATCTTTCCACACACAGCAATTCCCAAATGTACAGCCCCAGCAAGATCTGCTGTGCTTCAGGAGCTACGATCACATTCTCTGCAGACCAGCAGAGGGCGGCAGCAGAGTGCAGACGTTTGTCGATGCTAACTGCGTTCCTCGGGGAGTTGTTAATCCCTGGCAGCAGGCTACAAGCTTGCCATACAATTGACTTTGTGCCTTGTCAGAGAAGGTGCATATGGATCAGAATGCCATTGTATAAACTCAATGAATGCCCTCTGTGTAGTACTGAATAATGAAAGCCCTTGATGCTTTGTTTCCCAAATAAATCTGCAGAGAATGTCCTCCCATTTTCTTAGATCTCTGTCCAAGGAAGCGGCTCCAGCAGCTGCCATGACCCCTGCCTTGACGAGGTGGACGTCTGCTGCATGCATATTGTGAGGGGAATTATATCAAGTATAGTTGACCTATCCTGGTGCAAGTCTCAGACTACCTTTGCAAGCAAAGCACACCAAATGTTATCCTTTTCATCATGAATCTGAGGATGGGACTCATTTCTGTTTATGCACAATGCATTTTTCTTTTAAGACTTTGTTGTTCAGATCTGTCATTTTCATGATTGCCACAGAGAGGAAACAGGACGTTGTTTAAGCCATGAGCATATTTCCAGAACATTTGATGTTCTGGTCATGTGCAAATCAGTCAGTTTAAAAGATTGATGAAACTTTGCACGCTCTCCGGATTAAAATGTGACGTCATCTGCTTGTGCACATTTATGAATGCATAGCACTGGATCTTTTGTGCTGCATGTGGAAAACTAGACACGTCAGTTTCTCTCATCACAAACACATGACCCACAAAGCAGAGGTGATTAGCCAGGGTTATCATTATTATGGTGTCTCAGATTACAACCACATATAGTGATGCTAATGGGATGGATGGATGGATGGCCTTTAACTATAGCTAAGCCACATATAGGCTGGCCATTTAGAATCTAAAATAACAAATATTGTATGATTTGTATTGATAACTTGACTTGTTCTTTAAATGTTTAACATGTTGTTTTATCTCTGTATTGTATTTGTGATTTTTATATTTAGGTGCTTTGTGTTTTCTATCTGGTGTTTCTGTTTTCTGCTGCATTATCAGTTTCCCTTTAGCAACAAAGTAAGTGTGTGATTTATTGATTGATTGATTGAGTGGAGCTATAATAATATACAGCGTCTATATTTACAGAATATGTTGTGACTATTAAATGTTAAAATTGTTCTTTACAGTGTTCAGCAGCGCTTTTGGGGGTAGAATAAAGTATATGAAATAAAAAATATATATATATATTAAAGTGTATATTCACCAGGGATGCAGAACAGGTCAAGTGCAGCAAAATACTTTAATTGGATAAACTAATACAAATATACAGTAGCTTGCTGAACTCATACACCTAGATCACACAACAGCCCATTGTCGGTTTCTTGTAGTGTGGCACAGTTAAACTACAACTGCAGGGATTAAATGGAAGCACATGATGATTCAACCCCGTGATTTCTCAGTCGGCTCATGTACACTCAACCATTTCCTCTCCTTTTCTTGTCCTTTTCTTCTTTCTCCTGACACCGTCCGTCGCCCGCTCCCCTCTCTTGTCTCTGTAACTTTCTCCCCCCAGCGCGTCATGGCATCCCCCCGGCTGGAGACCTTCTGCTGCCCGAACAGAGACGCGGCGACAGAGTTCGTGGTCACCTTCCAGCCCGTCTTGTTCGGGGCTTTGGGTCTGGGAAGCGCGAGTCTCAGTCTCGTCTTCGCCGTTCTACAAATCCTGCCAAAGCGCAAAGGATACAGAAGACTCGGACAGTACCCGCTGCCAAGGCCCGCGTCCTCCTCGCGGATATTGTTCATCATCAGTATATGTGACATACTGGGATGCACAGGTAAAGAACGAACTGCTGGAACAGGCCTACTTTGTATCGAATCTGAGAGAAAGTTTCATAACGTGGAGTTTGTCTGCTGGATGTAATTACGCACGCAAATATCTTGTTTTTAACCCTTTCGGTGCACGCACTGCATTTGCCTGTCTGACCTGGTTTAAATGCAAACAGAGAGAACACATCAAACTAAACGTTTGTACAGCGATGGGAAACGTAATTTATAAAAAGAAAGAAAGGTGATTTTGGTATTAAATCAATCCTTCATGAGTTTTTGCAACATATTGGGTCAATTGTACAGGTTGTTAGAATGACCCGCTCTTTTCAAATGGAAAACTTAAAGTATAAACTCTAAACAAACAAACAAATCTAAACACAGACCCTGAAAAAATCTGTATACAATATATTAAGATTATTAGTTCTGAAGCTGCTTACTACGAACCAAAAGAATGAATCATGAGCCTCTCATGTGAGTCATGGATGACTCCTAACCTCTGCAAACCCCCTTTTTTTCCCTGTTGATCTGAATGCAGCATTGTTCTTAAAACAAAGCAAGCAATAGTTACACACTTAATAACACACAAAAGGCTGCAAATTAGTTTCACATTGTTGAACTCCATCAGAACCGGTGTGACACTTGAGCTGCTCATCCGTCACTTTGCCTCTGCGCTCGGTTGGAAAAGAGGAGGCAGATGAAGTCATGTATTACTGCGTAGTTAGCGCCCAGCGAGGCTCACCCTCCACTGCGAACTAACAGCTTTGAAGCACACCCCTGACACAACTTAAAAACAAATACAAATACACAACAGCATGTAGTCTGCATCGCATTAAGTTTCTGGGAGAGCTCCCGTTTTCCCACCCCACGGTGAAGAGTCTCATGTAGGAAATGGAAACACCCCTATAAAACACACCTGGAGGTGGTTCATATTTCCATGACATAAGGCTGCTATTAAAAGGACTCCCATGACTGAATCTAATTAATTACCACACTTAATAATACAGAATGAAATGATGCCTAAATGTTAATTGAAACCAGACTGTTTATTTTTTGTTCCTCTCGCTGGTGGAGTAGGATTCGTCTAATGAGTTGCAGTTAACAATTAGAGATCACGTGTTCGTTTTCCTCCTCCAGGTATCATTGTCAGGTCCTCTGTCTGGCTGGGCCTGCCGAACATCATCGACCGCGTCTCGGTGGCCAACAGCACCGATGCCTGGCCTGGGGCCTTCTGCGTTGGCAGTGCAGTATGTATGACGCTCTTTGACAAAGCTTCACAGTTCGGTTAAGGCTTTATTCCGGTAAATGCACCAATATGGCTTTATGCTCGACAGATGACGCGAAGGGGACTGTAGCGGGAAATCAAACACATTATACTGTTAATCATACATTGATCCTGCAAAATGCCACGCATGCTCAGCGAGCATGGGCACGGCCGACTGTTGTGTCTTCTCAAACTGTCGGGTTACAGATCACAGTACAGCGAGGCCCAATTACTCATTCTTCTTATTACAATTATCTTGTGACCTGTAGAGTAAGCGTATCGTATCTCATTTATGTGTTACAGATGTGGATCCAGTTGTTTTTCAGCGCGTCTTTTTGGTGGACCTTTTGTTACGCTGTTGACGTCTTCCTGGTTGTGAAAACATCTGCAGGAATCAGGTGATCTGAGCCCTCAGCTTCCATCTACCGTTCATTATCACCTCAACATCTCCTCCCGTAGACCGGGAGCGTTAAACTGATCTGAGAATGTGTCATTTAATGTGTAAAACACTTTCCTCTCACTTATGTTCACTTTGTGCAATATATGCAATGCTTCTTCTTGCATGACTCCATTTGAAAACTCCCTGAAACTGGTTTGAATTTTGTTGTAGAGAAAACATTTAGTGAAGGTGCACTAAGTTTTACACACTTTTTGTGTTTCAATGGGCTTAATCCCTTTGCAGGGCGCTCCTGCACAGAAAACAAAAAAAAAAAAATCAAACCTCGAGATAAAGAGCTGCAGCATGGTGTTGTGAGCTCAGTCTCATGACTGGTTTCTTTCCCCATCAGCACCATTATCCTCTACCACATGATTACATGGGGTCTGGCTGTGCTGCTGTGTGTTGAAGGAGTGGCCATGCTCTACTACCCATCTATCTCTGAGTAAGATGCTTTGTTGTTCATTTAAATGCACCGTTTCAGCGTTTGTGTCACTTGCCTTTTCTCCTGCAAGAGCCCGAGAATACCAGTCACTGTGGCAACGATGACAACATCTCTGTTTAGCACTGTGGAGCTGTGATTCCCAATGCTAATTTCATTATTTTGTTGCTTTTTTGTTTGTGCAGCTGTGAGCAAGGTCTCCAGCACGCCATCCCGCACTATCTCACCACATACGCACCTATGCTGCTCGTCCTTGTAGCCAATCCCGTCTTCTTCAATCGGACCATATCTGCAGGTCAGTTCCTTGCCCTTCAAAATCTCTCTGTGTCAAATGCTTTTCGTTCACATGCACATGGGCTTAAACATCCACCTCTCTTGTCCTTCCACTCTAGTGACATCTCTGCTAAAAGGACGACAAGGAATCTACACAGAAAATGAGAGACGGCTGGCCAATGAGATCAAAATACGCTTCTTTAAAATAATGCTGGTGTTCTGTATTTGGTATGTTACCATTCTTCATCAAAGGGATGAACATAGAGGAATAGGACTATATTTATTCATCTGGCTGAGAATTAGAAGATTGTAACTTCATGTTTACTGTACAGACATGAGAGTGGTGTCAGTCAGCAGCAGTAGTCAGCTAAGCTTAGCACATAGACATAGACAAAGCACATAGACCAACCAGCACCACTAAAGCTCAGTTAACATGTTATATCTTGTTTTGTTTAATCCATACGAAAACCTAAGAGTAAAATGAATCATGCCGTTGTTTCACGGTGGTTATGTGCCAGACTTTCTTGGCCGCTTACAGTAAATTCCTCGAGTCTTGGTTTGCCGGTTGCCTGGAAACCTCACAACGACAAAAAGTCTCCGGGAAGTTACTGCGACGGGCCAAGAAATATTATGCGGCACATAACACCCTGTAAAACCACATGATGTTGTTTTTACACTTTGTTTGTGAATCGGCATAGCTCCCAAAATGTTTCCCTACTTCTTAGACGGACCATGTGAATGTTATTATAAGTTGTATATTATCATTATTTGGTTGAATACCAATTCATTTATGAAGTGAATTAACATTCCTTCATTGACGAGCTTTGAAGTGTGAACTAATCGCATAAAGTCACAGTGACTCGATCATTACAGCGTTAGAGATAATCTAGTGTGACTCTCAGCAGATTCATGACACTCATTGTGTGCTAGTCCACAGAATGTCTAGAGCTGGATATGCATATTCATTTGATGAGAATAAGCATGTTGTGTTGCTAGACTTGCTGATGCTAATGAGGCCTGTTGATGTTTTAGCTGGATTCCCAACATCATCAACGAGAGCCTCCTCTTCTACCTGGAGATGCAGACAGACATCGACGATAACGCTTTCAGGAATATCAGAAACGCAGCCCTCATCACATGGTTTATCATGGTGGGTTTCAAAACATTAACGCACAGAATGAAGAACACTAGTTTTAGCAAAGTCTTAACACCTTGATTTTTCACTCTTTCAGGGTATCCTGAACCCCATGCAAGCGCTCCTCAACACCCTGGCCTTTCACGGCTGGACAGGCTTCGATGTTGACTTCAGATTGCAGCAGAGGAGGGAGCTGGCCTGGGACTCAATTTCTACTTCGGTGCCTAACGCAGCAGCCAATAATCCCCTGGTGGGAACCACTCTGCTCTACCAGAGTCATGTCCAGGAGAGCAAGAAGAACACGAGCAACGGACAGCACCACTCTGACGCCATCAGCGTCCTCTCAGAAGGTAACAGGGATTTCAGTGGCAGTAACAGCTCACCGGTATACCAGGGATGGTGAAGCTATAAAGCATTAGCATCCTGTATGGTGTCTCCTGGTGGCTGGAATGCCTCTTCTTTAAAAGTAGTGTATTTTATTTAGGATGACATCATTATAGCATGATATCATCCACTGAGGAATCTGCCCCAACTGTCTGAAGGCAAGTTTTTTTTTTTTTTTTTTTTTTCTAGTGGAGATTAAATTCACATCAGTGGCACACAGCTCTGGAGACATTGATTCAGGATACAGTTAAAGCTCTGCGATGATTTTTTTTTAATATTAAAATGACTTTTTGAACCTGTACTGTAGCTGACAGGGCATGCTTTTTTTTTTTTTTTTTTACTGTTCAACTTCATAATGGTGGCAAATTCTGACCTTCTGTTAAAGGCGCTGCAATTGTGCCATGTGATCACATAGAGCTTTAAGTGTCATCATGGATAAGAATAAGAGGATATGCAGAGAGCAAGTGGCAAAGCTGTTGAACTTTTAGATGAAATGCAATCAGATGCCGGAGTATTGGAGACACCTTTAGCGAAGACTAACGCAGCCCAGTAATAAACCCTCATGAAGGTTAAAATGTTCAGTGTTTGTTGTGCTGTTGAATTGTTTTGTATGATACTGAGAGGTGTTTTGAATATTGAGTTTACCCTCATTGATATAATTATGGGGAACACCTAACATAACCTTCAAGGTAGGATTTATTGCAGGACTGTTGTATTACAAGGCTTTAGGTTGAGCTCGGTGTATCTAATGTTCGGGCAACTGAGTGAAGATTGAACACCGATGTGCATTTAATACAAAAGTTAATATTTATGAACTCATTCTAGTAACACTGAGTGATGACACAGGACATTTTGACATGTTACAGCAGAACAAGCACAGGCGTAAATAGTTAAACCAACGATCGCTGGGGTCCATGAAGCTGCTTTAAAAGACCAGGCAAGATATTAGATATTAGTAACAACCACACTTTTTCTACTATGACATGTGAAAATATCTGATGTTACAAAAACCCCTGTTCATAAACTATTAAATGTATTTTAGGATGATTTTATAAAAGCATTTTATACCATTTTGTTTGTGCACAATGTGGATCACATGTACTAAGGCTATTCAGTGTTTTGTGTCACCATTCAGTGTCTTTAGAAATAAAGTGGATTTTTTTTTAAAGGATTTATTTTGTTTTTCATTCATTTATATAACCTCCAAATGCCAGTAAAAACAAAAACAAAACATGGCACAATTCTAAATTGCAATACGTTAAAAAAAAGAATTCACATTAAAGACTGCATTTGCAAATAATTCCCAAAATACATTTGTGAATCAATGCACACTCACATTTGTGAAGGAGGGATGTATAAATGCAAGATGAATATCTCAATAGATAAGCAGTTTGAGCTGTGCAGTAATCTACCCCTATCTTGTCTTGCTAGGTTCAGAGTCTAGTACAGTTGAAATCCACATTTCCAGCGATCTACGAGACTATGAGGATGTAGCCGCTGATGAAGAATCCTTGGAGAACTCTGTAAGGCACTAGCCGGGGGTGATCAACAACCCGCCTCCCTCTACTTCCCTGTGTGACATTTCTCTTGTGCTCGTCCACTTTTGTTTTACATTGTTTCCTCTTAGCTGCCATTATCCCATTGAGATTCCCCCCCAGATATGAACTGGTCATGAGATGTCATTAGTTGGTACAACAAAGTAAGTCCAAGTCTTTATTCTAAGCCTTTTATTCCTTCCTAAACTTTGTTTAATCCGTCTGCAGCAGTGCAACATCGCAGACTCATTAACTGTACAGCAGCTGAGCAGTCCCAAAGCTACTTCACCGTCTCTTGTAGCAGTCAGTCGACAGAACAAACATCACATTTTTACATTATTAACTCACAGGCTGACCTTTAAAAATGTGCTTGAGGGAAAATATCTCCCGGCAATTAGACGTGTGCTGGTTTTGTGATGTGCACTCCTGTCATTAAGCTCTCAAAGCACACAGAACGTAATAAGCTAATTAGACTTCTTTTTTTAACAAAGTTACTGTATTCCTAGTTGTTCACCTTGTATTTTTGCACACATCTATTTTATACTGTATTCAATTCCAAAAGTATTTGTTAAGGTTTTGTTGGTGACACTTTCTTAATGTTTTTAAGTCGTTTGCAGACAAATAAAATACTGCCGTGCTCAGAAAAACACAGAATTCAAGACACAGGCTCCGTGGTTTCTGATATGAAAATAGAGTGATTTATTTGAGACACTGAATGACTTCAACGTTTTTGTCATGGAAACGGGGTGATTGCACCCTGGACCAGGTGCAAGAGAGACAGTAGCCGTCACAGCACTTATTCCACACCGGAGCTCCTCGGTGCGCCAACAATGGCCACCGACCCCACAGCCCAACCCTCAGTCTGACACAGACAATAATGGCTCTCAGCAAATTAAAAAGTCAGAGAACGATGAACCACCCGATAACATCCAATTGTGACATTAGAAAAAAAAAAAAAAGACAAAAATAAAACATTGGCCCTTCAACTTTTAGCGAGAGTTGAACATTTGCTGTTCCCACCATTACAAACAGTGCACTTCACATTGCTGCAGCAGACGCTGAATGAAAGGGAACCAGAAACAAAAAAAAGGCAAATCAAAATGGTGGCAAGTTAATTTGAAGATTCTGTCTTTTCCATGAGATCCCCCACTTAGTGCACACCTATGCAGCTCGACTCACAACCCGTGCATTTTAAACAGCATTAACAAGAACAATCATAGCTCTTCTTTTTTAAATTCTTTTTTTTTAGCAAAAGTAGGACTTGTGCTTGACCTCCACCTTCTGATTGTTCAGAGGAAAGTGCCAAAGAGAAACCGTGGTGATGCTATCTGAAGCTGTAGTTGTTTTCCTGCTCAGGTCTGCGTGATCCCGTGATGTCCTGTTCCACAAACAATACAAAGATAAAGCAGAGAACCAAGCAGGAGACTGCGATGACTGTCACCTCCCGTATTGTTGACCAGATAGCTCCCTGAATGCCGGTAATGAGGCACACATTTCTTCCATGGCATCAGGGATTAATGGTGGAAAAAAGCAATTTGTGACTCCTTGAAAAACAAGACAACCCGATGCATTGGATACGATTGGCCCAGTTGAAAAAGACGGTTAAAAGAAGCTGATGACGCATGCGCTTCATTTAAAAAGAGGTCTCGTCACGTATTATCAGCAAAGATGTGACAGCTCTAGCCATTAATGAGCCCCTACAGAATGGCAATAATGTGTACTGTATATAAACATATATACACAGTATATAAGTCTGTGTATTAATCTAATTTACATATCTTTACATTCTGAAATTTACATCCAAAAAAGGGAGAAAATTCTCTTTGTAAACCACACTTCTCACATCTTGTCCACAAAGTGACATTTTGTAATCTCGAGTGAATGGAACAGGTCATTTTAGGAGCTTAGGACCGTTTTTCTTGGCAGGTTTTCCTTTCTGTTGACCTGATGTTAGACGTGAGCTAAGAACTACCTCGCAGCGGCACATTCAATTTGGATTTTTCAAAAGTCCGTCTGTGGGAAAAAAACAACAACGCAAGAAGTACTCTTGAAACAATCTATTCTCCACTGGGAAGAAGTTAAGCACCCTGTCATCGTACAATACCGGTGCTTCAGTATTGTTACCGTTATCACGTCCCACGTCAGTTCATTTTGGACATGAGGCAACATTTTGCTCAGAGCAATTCTAAAACAACAACAACCTTTCTTCCATAATTTGTCCCCTCTTACAGCCAAACACGTGTCTCATTAACACTTTTCTCTTTATATAAAACTCATCTTTTGTGTTTTCCACCCTTACAACCCGATAACAGATGGACCAGTGGCCCGGAGGGATCGCAGCACTTTCTCATTAGAAACCTTTAAAACACGGATGCACCCAGGGAGTTGGATTCAGTCCATTGTCAGGGATCTCTTAACCGGCTTCCATTATGTTTCCAATAGGCGTATCGTAAAACACTCGTCAACAAACTGTCAGGTGCACGGAAGTTCTCAGAGGCTGCTGCAGTCATCTGGTTGTACTCCTGTGAGGGGTTTTGTTTTTCGCTCCACCGTACAGCTCTTCTTGAGCAATGAGAGCGTGTTCGCTGATGTCAGAAAAAAGGCAATTTGCTGCACATTCCAGGACTCATCAAAGTCTCAAGTCGGCTATTTTCGGAGGTCAAGAACACATACCTGGAAGGTGAAGAATTGGGTAGCATTACTAATACGTTTTGAGCAGCCTGCCTTCCAAGTACTAGTAATGAATTATTTCAGCCAATATTATTTACAAGTACCAAATAGTAAAGACGTAAAGGAGCAACAAATCACTCCATCGACAAAATGGCCATGGCTTACCGAGCCGTCCGACGCGCTGGCACCAACTTTGTCCCCGGTGCTGTTCCAGCACACCTCGAAAATACCACCAGTGCCCCTGAAGCTGTGCACCAGGGCTCCGGTCTGACACAAGAGCGCAGGGGAATTAATGAACAACTCTTGACAGCAATTGCAATGAATCTTATCTGCCGTTTGGGGCCGTGTAAATCAGACGCTTACCATGGTGTTCCAGATGTGGACGCACTTATCAAAGGAGCCGCTAGCCAGGTGCATGCCGTCGGGGCTGAAGGCCACGCTGTAGACGGGCTCCTGGTGCTTAGTCAGCGTGTGAATACAAACCCCTCGCTCGACGTCCCACAGACGAACCGTCGAGTCGAAAGAGGCGCTGTGGGAGTGAAGGAGACAGAGTGCACTGGTCAGATATGAGAGTAGAAACGAGGATTTCTAACATGTGCTAGTCATGAATATGACCAAAACAACTTTGTGCCTGCAAGATGCCTTTAAAAAGCGTTCTTTATTTCCAGATTTGTGATGCAGTGAATGAACACCAACAGCTAATAAACAGAAACAAAAGGAACCAATAACACTTCTTAAGAAGCTACCGATCGTCATTTGTTTTTGTTAGCGCCGGACTCCTTTAAAGGAGGAAAAACTACACAAAAAGGCCACACTTTGCGTTTCAACAAATGTGTGAACTTCACAAAAAAAACTGACAAACCGTGAGCATCTGTGACCCTAACACTGAGACGCTGTTGAAAACAAATGATGATAAAAAAAAAAAAAGGGAGGCTGATTTCAATTAACACGTCTTCTTCACCGAGGTATAAATAGGCAGGATTAATCTCCTCTGAGTGCCCTTAGCAACAAGTGAGAGCAAATTTGGAAGTACTGTTCCAACGGTGGCATTTACTTAAGATTATGAAGTTCCTTTCAAGCAGTAGCAATGACGGCAGTATCATTGCTAAAGTGAACTACAGGCAGGTATACTGGGCTGTGAATTCCTGTGGTATCTGAACTAGAACATTTACACATGCATGCACATCTGGGTCAGGGTGTCAGGCCACTGACAATAACCAGCACTAGGATTTTGTCTTACACCCACATTATACACAGTTTGTTCTAAGCACACTACCTTGGACTTTCCCTTCAAAACTGAGCAGCGTGGGTGGTTTGCCCTATACGGTACTAAATGTGAGTTATGTGCGAGACATTCCCCACCTGGCGAGCATGATGTTGGAGTTGGGGTTGCTCGTGCCGGGGCCTGTGGGGCTCCACTTGATAGTGTAGATCTCTTTACTGTGAGCCTGGAGGTCGTGGACACAGGACTCCTGCTTCATACTCCAAATCTGTGTTCAAGGGAGACACAGCAACAGCAGAGTTTGACTGAATACAAATTACCACAGCGGGTTTGTTGTCGTCTTTAAGGCCCCACAGGCTGAGGGGCTAGTCTTACCTTTAAGGTCATGTCATCGGAGCAGGAGGCCAGCAGCATACCTGACGGATCCCACTTAATGGCGTTAACTTCATTCTGCAAAAAAAAAAAAAACACGAAAGTCGTTAGCGTGACTGTCGAGGGAGGGAGGGAGGGAGCACGGTGCGAGGTCAGAAGAGCAACATAGAACAGCTGTTCACCGTGTGGCCCTGGAAGGTCTTGAGGGGCCGGTCGCTGCCGAGGCGACATACGTGGATGCACATGTCTGTGCTGCAGGAGGCAAAGGTGGTGTTGTTCTGCCAGTCGACATCCAGCGCCGGGGCTGTGGGATATTGGAACGCACATGAAGCGCATTCATTAAGGGTTCAGAGGTTTACGAGCCAATAATACGACCACAACTCAGCGGGAAACACTTTACATCCTGTTTATTAACAGCGATGATTTCGCTTTTATTGTTTGGGTGGAAATAGTGAACTGGCTTTACCTGAGTGGAAGGGGAACTGCTGCTTGGCTTCTCCCGTGTGCGCGTCCCAAATGATTGTCGTCTAGAAAATAGAAGTGAGTATTTTCAAACTACGAATGCAACATTATGAAGAATAAAGAAGGGTTCTTTAACATGTACTCTGAATGACTACCAGGGCTTGAAATAAATCCCACCAAATAGGTAGGCAGGGAAAATGAAAATGACTGATGCAGTCAGCTGCTGTCACATACATCGTCTTTGGTGTGCGCGCCTTTGTCAGATCATTTTTCTTTTATCTGCCCGTTGATACAGCTTTATTTTCAAAGAATCCTCCATAAAATAAGTTTATCTGCAGTTCATGTCACTGTAGCACGAAAGAATGTGCAATCAATGCAAATACCTTGTAACCAAATACCTCATTGTTACAATGAGGCTCTGATAGAACGTGTGAAATATTTAATAACATCTAATGATTCCAGGCTTTCTCTGTTCTGCATCTTGAAGATTCACTGGTAATGGTGCAGTTTGCGCTGTAGTTTATGGATACCAGAAGAAGTATATGTTGCAGATTTACACTTTGGCTGATGTTTAAAAAGAAAATAAATTTCAAGCCCTAGGACTGGTGAAGAAAAGAAAAGAAAAGAAACACACATGAGGATCTTGTTATTGAGACACAAATCAATGCTTGAGGGCCATTATGAAATACCTTATCTACACCAGCACTGAGAATAGAGTTCCCCTTCTTGTTCCACTTGAGTGCAAATATGGGCCCTTTGTGCTGTCCCAGGGTGCTTGCCAGATTCCCTAACGGATAAGAGCCATATCCATTTCTTTTAGAAATGATCCTTCAAAAAATTGTCACAGAGGTTGCATTATTCACAATAACAATGTCATAAACCTAGTGACCGAGGAAACAACACCGTGCTGGAATGATGGGAGGACGTACCATCCTTTGTCCATATCCTGGCGAATCCATCGTACGAGCCCGTCGCCAGCAGAGTCCCGTCACTCTGTCGGATGGAAAGATGTCAGGATTGTTACTTAACCGTCTTTAAAGCTACACAGTCTGTTTAAAGGTAAAAGTAGAAGAGGAAAGATGCGGACGGGTGATCAGGAACCTACGTTCCAGTCTAGTGAGGTGACGTCTTTGTTGCTGGGGACGTCCTGGCCGCCTTCTCGGATGCAGTGGCGCAGCACCAGCTGGGTGGTGTTGGAGTTGTTATTCTCGTTCAGGTTCCATATCCTGGCGGTGGAGTCCCCCGAGCTGAACAGAAGACCAACGCAGTTAAAAGGATTGTTGGAATATAAGCCGTCAGCAATGGATCTTATGAGGTCATATATCTTACAAAACAAAAGGGGCCAACGCGTGCATACAATACAGTGTGACTCATCCAGCCCGCTAAAGATCTGTTTCAGCACAGACGGGGACTCACCCTGAGGCCAGCAGATCGCTGACGGGGTTCCAGGCACAGATGAACACTTCAGATTCATGGCCACGGAGCACTGTGGCTTTACTGGCTGGTATCTCCACATCTACATCCATCTCCATGGGCTCACTGTGGTTATCTGAGAGCAGCCAGATGGACAGATAAACACGCACACGTTAATATTTGCATCAACACATGACTGCAAACACACATATGTCCACACCACATGCCATGAGTACTATACATAAAATGCTGATGAATGTACCTCTAATAAATGTTGCAGGTGGCGAATGGCTACCTTTAAATAACAAAGATATTGAAGAATACAATAATCTGTATGTCTACTAGTGTATGTGATGTTTCATTATGTATCCCTGACCCACTGGGAGTGCACACAATTATTACAGTATAATGAGAACCAAGTCACAGTAGAGGAATATGTGAAAGCCAGACAGGCAGTGCAACCTTACACCCGACTCTTCCTGTTACCACCCACACCTTTGGATTAAATTCCTCGGGGATGTGCCGACACAAACATCCACTCCTGTCGCCCTCGTCTAGACCGCCGCCTGATCGACACCTCTCTGGTTTCACTCACAAACGAAGCTAAACCCACACAGCTGCTTTCGTATCGCCGTGTAAAACTGTGCGATAATTTGGACCTGTCGCCTGAAGTAGAAAAACGGTTGATTTGGTAATAATAACAATGCAACCGCTAGGCTGCATCCTTATGACAGCATAGAGCCAAAACACAGCACAGATGGAGCAACTCCTGCCTGCTGCGATTTTGAAAATGTTCTACATTCAGAATAATATCATAGTGCGGATGCAACGGTGATGTCTGTCTATTTGTTTGTCTGTCCTTTTTGTATTAAAACCTTTATGATTACAATTTGAACTACTAGTTTTTTGTCAGTTCCTACTCTGAGATAATTGGTATTTAGAAGACTCAACGTACTCATGTTGTGAGTGCCATTCTCCTCCCCGTTGACGGTGGCTTCTCCATTCTTTGGTGCGTTCGACTGGTTTCCAGAGGTCGAAGCTGCCATGCCGCAGGCCGCTTGCTGATGGGCTAACTTGTCACGGAAGGCCTGCTGCCGCGTCTGCACCGCATCCGGCATCACTGCGTCAATGAGCGACAGCGACTCGATTGGCCGCCCGTCGAAGACTGTGCCGTCCTGTCGGGACAACAGCAGGTAAATAACGCATCATGAGGCAATGTGCATTAGTGACTTTTCTGGAGTTGCGTTTCCCCGTTAATGATCAAGTATAGACGTGAAAAGCGTTTCCTACTGGGTGTTATATAGAAAACATCTGTGGGAGGTTCCCCCGGTCTCACCTCATTGATGCTGATTTCGGCCTCCACATACTGGAGCCCTTTCTGCAGGATGGAGATGAGGGCTGCAGGGGGCACTAGTGTTCCATTTATGTTTGACTGGCTGATGTGGCTCTCGATGCCAAAGGTGAACGCTGAGTGGGAGAAACCTGAAAACAAAACACCATTCAGTCATCAACAGGCAGAGTGCCGAGCACAAAATGTGCACAAACGAAACGCAAATACTCAAAAGAAAAGTCTTGTTGGATACAAACAAAGCAGACGGTGAATGAATATAAGAACCCCATGGTATAATAAGGCCAGCCAATGGCAATGTTGACCTACTATTGGCTTGTATTCTGCAGGTAATAAAATACAGCAGCTAGGATTTGAATCATTGATCCGGATTCTATCGAAGAAGTGAACAGCATGTTGACATCGAAGGAGCAAAGCATCCACAAGGTGCTGGGATTACAGCTGAATGCTCCGTTTATTTCCATCTGGCTGAAGGAGGACGACCGCAAACAGACTTGTTCCTTTTATCATTCTGTATATTTCCATCCACTTCAAGCCGAGGAGAAAATATCTTGATGCAAGCGGCCATGTTTCACCTCGCATAACATAAATAATAGCCTATGATGCGCCCGAGATTGTTTATAATAACTACATATCTCAGAGAATGGTCAGATAATCTTTCAGCATACGTATCAGTGTTTAGAGACAAACCTGATTCCTGGAGGTATCTGTAGACCAAGAAGTTCACTTCGTCACTGGTAATACTCATCTTAGCCCGATGGAGGGGAGGAGGTATGTTGGAAGGTTGGGGCTCACTCCTGAAAATATAATCAGAAATGGGAGTTGAGGTAAATATTAAGCTCTGTGGTCTCGCATATCACATATTCTTTAAGCCATTCTAAAAACAGATATCTCCTTCACACTCCAATAAAAACAGACGTATATCTGTCATGACCCTTGTTTAGTGACGCAGCCGTGAGCCGACATATTCTAATGTGCAGCCTCTGTCGCCACATGCTCCTTCTTGCCGGATTCCTTCCCTTGTCTCGGTCCCTTCACCTGTAAAGCCACGTCTAGTACTGAACAAGCATTCCCAACCTCTCCTCTCCGGCCTAATGGGAGCGTCTGTATCCATTTGGCTTTCATTGAGGACTGAATGGCGCTTCCCGTTAGTGACCCGGCCAACCATCTCGATGGCAAGAGCCCTGATAAAGAAGTAAGGATATTAAATGCCTGTCCACTGCCCGTCTAGTGAATTACAGAGGAGGACGAGAGGCAATGTATTCATAGCAGCCAACACGACCTTCACTTCGGAGTTATTTTCAACAAATAGTGGTGTTTAACAGAGCTCATGGTAACAATTCAATCGAGAATGTCTCAAAGCCGAAGGGAGCCGAAGGAACAGAAAGGCAATTAGGTTTTTTTGTTTAATTCCATCGTGTATTTTTCCTCAGGCTGATAGCAAAAATACTGTCGAGTTAATCATTTCCCAAAGGCTCACGCGTATGCTTTACGAGGACATGGTAGATGGAGCTGGAACAACAATGTTTACACACACACACACACACACACACACACACACACACACAC